CAAAATGCCACTGAATGAGGACACTTTTTAGATTACATTTGTCTGGATAGCATCTATGAATCAGTTTAAAGGTAACTTCTCTTATTTTGTTTGATACAAAAAAAAATTAAAAAATAAAAAAATTGTGGAGTAATAATAACCAGACTTTCTTCCAGGAAATATAATTCACAAAACCAGTCCAATATGACGTTATATTAGACACAGAATTGTCCTGAAACACGGCCCTTATTTCCTTTTTGCATTTTGATTTAGATAATGAAAGGCACTGTTTACCAATAAATGTTTTCCAAAGGTCCACTGAATGACTAGTAATCGGAAATGAAAGTCCTTTAAAAAGCATTAAAACACCTTGCCGAATCAATGCCAGTCATTGGTTGATGCAGATTAGCTGAGTAGCGCGCCATTTAATTAAAAAAAAATTGTACAATAAACAGATCGATTAATGTCAACTTTCAAAACAAATCTAAAAATTTCGTATGTAACCGAAACTGTATCTAACCATTCTGCCTATAAAAGTCAATTAAAGGATAGAATGACAAAAAAAACTAAATTAAGGTTTTAGAAACTACAGTGGCGTAACACACTGCAGTTTAAGAAAACAAATGCAATTACAAAAAAACAACAAATTAAGAAAAGATCTTCTTTCGCTTGACAGCACACGTCACAAATCCTCGCAATGCAAGCACATTTTTAAAAAACGCTCTGCATTTTCTCAAAACGCATACAAATTAATAAAACGCGCTGGATTTTTTCACAATGCAAACAAATTGATAAAACGCTCTGCATTTTCTCACTACGCAAACAAGTTAATGAAACACTTTGCATTTTCACACAACGTAAAACAATGGCTATATGCACACAGACTTTTAATTTTCAGCCAAGCAGCCCAAGGGCTTCTGATGAACTGTTTTTTTCGTTACAAAATTGTCACGTTTAAGATCTGATTTCTTGAAAAATCAGCGATCTTCACTGCTTTATATATATACGAAAGCACTGCAATAAATTCCATTTCCCCCCGTCATGTCTTTAAAATAAGATTTTTTTTAATTAAATGAAATAAGTTTATTTTACCTTAGTATTTTCAATGAAATTTCTGCGTAGCCTGTTGCTACTGATGGCGCAAGTTACAAAGATTTTAATATCATTTTACACTTGAACAACTAAATGAATGCTTAAGGCTGAATTTATTGTAATTACATTACAACATCGATGCTGTAAAAACAACCTTGTGAAATTGCCAATACTCACATTAAGCTTTCACCAGAAGTTTATCATTGGCTTTTCACACAATGCAAACAAAGTAATAAAATGTGCTGCATTTTCTTACAACACAAACAAATTAATAAAACACGCTGCATTTTGTCGCAACGCAAACAAATTAATAAAACGCACTGCATTTTCTTACAACGCAAACAAATTAATAAAACGCACTGTTTTTTTTTCTTAAATTTGTTTGCATTGTGAGAAAATGCAGCCTGTTTCATTAATTTGTTTGTGTTGTGAGAAAATGCAGCACGATTCAGTAATTTGTTTGTGTTGTGAGAAAATGCAGCACGATTCAGTAATTTGTTTGTGTTTTGAGAAAATGCAGCACGATTCAGTAATTTGTTTGTGTTGTGAGAAAATGCAGCATGTTTCATTAATTTGTTTGTGTTGTGAGAAAATGCAGCACGTTTTATAAATTTGTTTGTGTTGTGATTGCATTAAAAATTGCAGTGCATTAAGCGCTCTTGGCCACTGTAAGAAAGCTCCAAAACAATGACATTCATCAATGATTAATGACTTTGAGTACATCCCTCTGCACATCAGACTCATTATATTTTTTGCCTAGTTAAAGTCTGCGTGAGCCGTAAATTGTTGAGTTTTTTTATTTTAGTAAGGTTCCAACTGAAACAGAATATTGAGTGGGGGAGGGGCTTTCTTTTTTGCCTTGTAGCAAACTAATAGTAAGAGGATCGTGGTTAACAATATTGTGGGTGAAGCTCTTGAACTGATGTCAACAGACAAGGACTGCCACTTCAAACAGAAGCAAATGGTCAGACTTTAATTGAAGACTACGAAACAATTTTTTTTAGCAGCACCGATTTTTCTAGCATCGATTAATTGTTTGCTCTAATGCTCTTTAGAATCTTAAGCACCCGTCCTCTTTGGTATAAATAACCTCAAACAACTTTCTCATCAAATCATGACCAATCAAATGCTCTATCTGACATGCACCCTTTAAGACTCTTCTCAATTGCCTGTCATTTTGATGCACTTGAGCTTATCCACTCTCATTGGCAGAGCAGTGATAAAAACAAAACACTATTGGCTGTTTTTTTTAAAAAGGGGAGGAGTTACACTATGTCCCACCCTCTCTTCGTGTTTCGGTTAAAATTACGTCATACATTGGATAAAAGAGCATATTTCAAAGCACTTCAAGGGACCTTTAAACAATATTGATGATGAACTTTTCAGACACCATAAATGTTTTCCATTGAGACTTTTATTTTTCAGTAAGCCAGCTATAGCGCTTCTTACGGACTGCCACATTACAAAATTGGCATTTTTAGGATCTTCATATGTCTGTCTATATCTATATAGAATAATGTGTTTATTGCTGTTAATGTACTTCAGATTGAAGAAGAATATTAAGTAGGGGCGGGGCTATTTTTTGAGCATCATTTACAAATGGCGAACTAACTAATAAAGGGGCGTGGTTACGCACATTGTGGCTGAAGCTGCCAAACTGATGTCAGAAGTAACTGGACTGCCTCTCTAAACGAGGATAAAAAGGTCAAGCTCTGATTGAAGATTACCAAAACAAACCTCTCCGTGGTTATCCGAGAAACTTGCACAGATTTCCTGTTCATCTAAACAATAACAATGTGTGCTAGCAGAATAAGCATTGTAAATTTTGATTTCACTTGGAGTTTAAAGCGATTTTTTTTTTAAGATTTAGACCAATTTTAGACTTTATTATTAGTCTGTGATTGTCATTATGATGTAAACAAAACTCTATTGGCCACTTTTTAAAAGGGGAGGATCTATTTGATATGCTCCGCCCCATCTTGTTTCAGTGAAAATTCGTCAACATATTGAATAACGTTACGTGTTTTAGGGCATTTCAGAGGAACTTTAATGTTCTACTAAAGAAAAATCTCACCTACATCTTCAATGGCCAAAGGGTGAGTAAATAATCAGCAAATTGTCATTTTCATTTACCGGTGAGCTATCACTTTAAGACCCTGCATTTATCCTCCTGGACAGCAGGGTGCAGCAGAACACACCGAGCTTGTTGGGAAGCAGCAGGAGCTCGAATCCCGTTGTGTTGCTTTGGCGAAAGGCTTTGTACGTACAATACAACAGTGAAAACCGAAAGACGTTGAAAACACCAGAAGAACGCATGAAAGCCCCCGTTTGACAGCCGAACTTCACCTTTTCGTGAGTATACATTTGAACGCGCCACTTTCCTTTAAATTAAAGCCCCATTTCCTCTGTGTTCCCTCTCAAATGTAGCCTGCTAGCACGCATGCGAAGGCAGAACGCGGGTACGATGCTGATGGTTAGCAGTTTCTTGCTCAGATTGTTTGATAAACCTTTTATAAGCGCTCATAGGCACCTAGTATCGCTATTAATAAAGATATTGGGTTACATTATTAACATAGCGAAATAATGCAGTGCATCCAGGGAGTCTGCAGCAGGCATCTCTCAATGCAGATGCAGAGTCAGAACACACACACACACACAACAGAGCGTGCACGTGTGGCTCGGTTTCCAGGGCAGTGCTGGTGAAACAAATGCTTAAATAAATGTAAACACACACGTGTGAGCTTCATGTTTGGGTATGTATGTGCTCTAGAAGAGATTTGCATTCTCGGTGCACTATGACGTCACGCACACTCCGAGGCAGGGGACCGGAAATACGTCATTACATGATGCTAGCCTTGGCCTTGGAATTTTGCCTCCAAAAATAAAAGAATTTTGCCTCCAAAACTCCATGGACTCTATTATTCTGTTGATAATTAGCATTTCTGTTGTAATCCTGTACTCTTAATATGTTGTCAATATCAAAAGTGCCACATCTACTGAAATATTAAAGCTAATTAGGTAATTGTGGCTTTAAATCTTTTCTTCTGTATTGTAATGTGAATATCAGTTGAAAAGATTATTGAAAAATAATAAAAGAGGGTTGACTCTACAGGTTTTTTAATCAGTGGCCACCCCCTTTTTTAGTAGTGATGGGTCGTTCATGAACAATTTGTTAATTTCGAACGAATCTTCAATATGACTCGGGAGCTACGAGTCCTCTCAGGGAGTGATTCGTTCATCCGAGCGTGCGCACATATGTGCAGGTGGTATTGTTCATTTCAAGTCTTTTGAGTCGTTCATCGCGGAAAGGCAGAAGCCCATCATATGCGTTTAGAGCCTGAAAAAGAATTGATCCGTTCATCTCTCGAGTCCTCTATCGCAGGGGTTCCCAAACTTTTCAGCCCGCGACCCCCAAAATGTCAATGCCAGTGACTCGTGACCCCCAATATTCTCTGAGGTGGTGGTTATAAATACAGAAACCTTGTATGCAATGACGCGCACAAACACACCAATAGACCCAAGTCTATTCTTTGTTTTATTTAATGTATGTCAGTGTTGTAAATGGGCTAGAAAGTTTAAGCTGGTGTTACAAAATCTGCTGCATCTGACAGTATTGCTGTGTCTTTAGTATAATGTAATTACCCGAGAAGTCGCAATCCAATAGAACTACTAACTATAAGCTACTATAGTAACTATAAACGACTATTTTTTTCTCTTCAGTAGGTTATTGATAAAATACAGTAAGTCTTAAGGTTTCATAAAAATTAATTGATTTTTAAAAATCACCAGGCGACCCCCCCTTCATTGTCCCGCGACCCCTCGGGGGGTCCCGACCCCCACTTTGAGAACCTCTGCTCTATCGGGTCTGAGTCATTCGTTCATCACAGGCCAATCATATGCATTTAGAGCTGGAAAAAGAATTGATCCGTTCATCTCTAGAGTCCTCTATCGCAGGGGTTCTCAACTGGTTTGGCCATGGGACCCACATTTTTACCTGGTCATCAAGCCGCGACCCAAATTTTTAGGAACTATAATACAATTATAGGTATTATAATTCATTTGTATTTATTTATTTACATACACAAGTTGTGACAGATAAATTATAAGAAAATCACCAAGACTTACAAATAAACAATATTTTATTGCTGTCATTGAACAAAATGTATTAAATTATAGAAATATTGCAAAGTAAAAATGACAAATACTGTAAACAGTGGTTAGGTTAAGGAAAGGTTCAGTTACCATTAACTAAACTGAACTGTTAATAAAACATGGTGTCTGGTTTCTAAATCTCGTTTTAATTTAGAAGGTTTTGTGCTCTCTTGTGAGAGCACCTCGCTACTTATGACACACTGAGGCTTTAAGCCTTTTTTGTCATCAGTATATGTAAATCCATACTTTACATATTCAGGTTCGTACTTGCGCTTCAACATATTTGTTACTATAATTAAATTAAATTTCACATCTCAAACGGGAGGGTTGTCGTGCACGCATTTCAAAATAAAAGTCAAAATAAGTAAAAAATTGAACTTTTGTTGTTTTTTTTGACCACACACTCCGCGATCCACTGAAAATGTTCCCGGCCCACCAGTTGAGAAATACTGCTCTATCGGGTCTGAGTCATTCGTTCTTCACGGGCCAATCATGCGTTTAGAGCTGGAAAAATAATTGAACTGTTCATCTCTTGAGTCCTTAGGTTTGAGTCATTCTGTCACGTGATGAACGTACGACTCAAGAACTAGAAGACTTAAAAGGTGAACTAATTATCATGGCTCTTATCGACTCAGACTGTGTACATTGTTTAAGATTATATGTGACTGTCAGTGTAACGTGAACGAACCACTGACATTTGAAGACATGAAGAGGTGAGACCAAAGAGATAAAAATACCTTTATAGACAAAAGAGGAGGTAAACATTGAATTATTATTTTCTACTTATAGTATTCCATTTACGACTTATTTGTCATGTGATCAACCTTTTGGGCTAGTTGTGTTTGGAACCAATTCGTAACATTTTAATAATATTTTGGCAAATTGAACCAAATGAACGAAATGACTCGGGGAAAAAAGACTCGTTCATCTAGATAAACGAGACTCAAAGATCCGAGTCAGTAAAATAATCCGAACTTCCCATGACTACTTTTTAGTAGCTATAATTCCAGAAATTGCTTGAATTGAAACGGCTTGCAATACCCAATTTTTTGTCATCCTTTTTAAAACATTAAAAAACTATGAACCAAACCAACCAGCTACATACAGATTTTTTTTTTGGGCTGTTTCTCAATATGCGTTATTGCGTCCTCGTTTAACAACATCAGCTGTTAAAGTTCAGTTCCAAAACTCAATACAGCAAGAAAGGACGACATGGGAAACTTCCCGGATGTGTTCTTGGTATCGAGGACGCATGGATGCAGACTTGAGCACTGAACTCGCTCTAGTCCCAGAAGTAATTTTCAGTGGAGGTGGAAAGCACAGCGTTTTATATAGATTTATTATTAAAGTTCAGAGATATAACTTATCTCTCTTACAAGTCTCTCTAAATGAAACTGTGAATATAAACATTACAGGACATCTTAATAAAGGAATAAACACATTAGGGTGTTTATTTGCTGAAATTCGTATTGAAATCATTTTTATTTATATTGTGCAATGTATATTTGTAAGGTCTTTATGCAGGATGCAGACTTGAGCACTTGTCCAGCAAATGCACAATTTCTGCGTTTTTAAGTAGTTGGAGCGATTAAATTACTCGCGCTCGCCTCCCTCGCTGTAGTATTCTGAACCGATACCAAATTGTCTGCGTCTGCATCACGGTGCACCAAAAAAACAATACATTTTGACACCCTTAATTTTAATAAGCACAATTGTTTGTAGAGCAAAGCATTTTCTGCCAGTTCTTGCTCCATATTACTTCAGTCACACAGTCTTTACATTGGCTGCCTGTTCATTATAGACTTCAGTTTAAAATATAATTTTATTTTTAAATCTCTAAATGGTACAACTCCCATTTACCTCCATGAGCTACTGACACGGTATCAGCCTACCAGATCTCTTCAGTCCTCCGATTAGGATCTGCTGTGCACCCTAAAATCAAGACTTAAATGTAGAGGAGGTCATGCTCTCTGCGATGTGGCCTCCAGACTTTGGAATGCCTTACCACCATCAATAAGACAAGCACCTTCTATCACCTGACTTAAGACAATTTGTTCACAAAGGCATTTGGCTGTTAGGCGGTTTGATCATTATTTTTAGTCTGTTTGTGGTTGTACTTCCGCATTATAAAATAAAGTCAATAGAAGCTCATCCATATTTGTAATAGTAAAGCATTCAGCGTTTGCATCTTTATTATTATGAACTGTTTGCATTTTTACTATGATTATTTGACAATTATTTTATTTGTTTTATTTTTAAGCTTTTTTTTATTCTAAATATAACTGTAATCATTTATTCCTGAGATTTTCAAGCTGCTTTGCTGTGTTAAATATTGACTACAGCGTATTTTTCGGTTCCAGCAGTGAGCCCACGTAATGTCACAAAGATCTGAATGTTATCGTGAGGCGGCGACTACAGGTTTGCTGTCAGATTCATTCTCTCTGATTTTCATATTGCTTGCGAATGAATCATCGACTGCTAAATATAGGGCTAAATATGAATAGGACTCATTCACTGAATAGAGAGAAAAGAAAGGTTTGAACGGGGGCCTGGCAGTGCTAATGCTTTTTCATGTGTTAATGTAGTATTCCTGAATCTTGCATATGTATTTTTACTGTGTCCAATTATGCTTACTTGTAAAATGATGGAGACCAAAAAAAGACAAGACTGCAAATATACTGTAGAAATGTTAATTCAACTTTAGTCTTTTTTTTGTAGTCCCTTTTAATAAATATTTAAAATGTTTTACTCTGTTATCAGGGTGTCAGTGGGGTCTTGAGTTGTTTAAAATTGTAGGTCTTAAGAAGTCTTACATTTATTTAATTATTGTAATTTAAACTGGTCTTAATTTGTCTTAATTTCCTGTGTCCATGTAAATCTACCCAATTTGACCAATAAACATTCAGTCTTCAATAATTAGGGTTTGCACAATATATTTTTTCAGCATTGATTTCGCAATGTGATCTTTCGCAGGTCATGCAGTGATGTGCAAAATGTAAATTTATATGGGTTTTTGAGGTGTGTGACTGTATAATGATTTTTTGAAGTATTCAGGCATAAGAGATTGTACAGTTTGTAACTTTAATAAAGATTAATTTATTTAAATATTTTTATTATTCAATTACTGCTCCTAAATACGGTTAGACTCGAAAAAGAATTCAACTGTTTATTTCATTTGTGATTTTTTTCCCTTTACTGTATTTATCTATATTTGTAGATTATTTTTAAAGTTTTGTGTACATGCACTTCTCTACTGAATCATCACACTCGATCTAAAATGATAATTTTTTCCAGTCATTTGCTGAAATTGTAGTCATATCGCAATATTTATTGCAGAATAACAAATCATCGCGATGTTAGATTTTTCCAATATTGTGCAGCCCTACTAACAATCCAACTTTAACAAAAGTTTTATTAGTTTATTTGTTAAGTTCTAATTACCTGTATGGTATAATTAGCTTGTATATTAATATTTGTAATGTAATGTGTATTTATATAGCGCATTTATTGTGTATGGCCATATACCCAAAGCGTTTCACAATCATGAGTGGGGTCTCTCCATACCACCACCAGTGTGCAGCATCCACGGGGTGATGTGACGGCTAAAACACTGTTTATTTGAATGATAAGATTTTATGCAGATTCACAAATAAGGCCAGGACACTGGGGTTACACCCCCTACTTTTTAATGATGCCATGGGATTTTTAATGATTGTAGAAAGTCAGGACCTCAGTTTAAAGTCTCTTCTGAAAGACAGCCTTACTGACAGTATAGTGTCCCCTTCACTTTACTGGGGCGTTCGGACTCACACAGACTGCTATTTGAGCGCCCCCTGCTGGTCTCACTAACACCACTTTCAACTTCAACCTAGTTTTCCCATGTGGTCTCCCATCCAGGTACTGACTAGGCTCAGCCCTGCTTAGCTTTAGCGAGTAACCGGTCTTGGGCTGCAAGGTGATATGTTTAAACGTTCACCATGTATTTATAGCTAAATGGTGAGGACAGACCTGGACAGACTGTTGTGCATACATTTTAGTTTATTATTGTTTTGAAAACTTGTCAAATTTCTTTTAAAGAAGAAACAATTTGGTTGTTTTGTCACAGTATTTAAAATATGTGGCTTAGAAATAACTACATTTGAATTTTCTAATAGGGCAGGTAAAACTATAAAAAAAATCTTTGGGCCATTAGAAATAATCCTTGGTGTTAAAAATGTCTTTTAAAAAGTCTTCAGTTTGACGTGGTAAAACCTGCAGAAACTCTAGTTATTTCATGCTTTGAATTATTTTTCTGAATTAAATGTTTTGAGAGACTGAAAGCCTACACTTTTGCATATAATGGAAGATTTATTAATTTAATTGTGTTCAAACTGTGGTTGCTTTACCCAATATGTTGATACCAAAAATAAACCTGTCATTCTTTTCATGTCTGTCTAACTCTAGCAATTCAGCACTCTTTGAGCAGATCTGGGCCAGATGGACCAGCCATCAGGTACAAAACTCTCACCGCTCAGTTTCACTGCTGTTTACTCTACTTTTACCACTGTTTGGAGTTGCTGTTAGTAAGTGTTTGCTTGTTTCATCTCTCATCCTGCTATTAAAACACAGCGGTTTTCTTTCTAATGTAGAGCTTGAGGTGAAATCATCTGGTGATCAGGGTGAGAGCAGCAGTGGTCAGCTGGGGGACGAGGAGCTTGATGGACTTCCTGTGTTTGGAACGGATGAAGACGACTGGGAAGTAGACAGTAGTTTTGCTCAGAAGGCTTTCAGTCAGACTGATGGAAACAGCAATGATAAGAATGATGCTGCAGGTGAGTTTTAGAAGTTGAATTTGAGCAAAACATAATATGCTAAATAGTTTCTATGGTGACTGAGTCTTATTTGCAACACTTGATGATTCATCAATAAACTGCACACTAGTGTTTTTTTATTTTTATTAAATCAAGGTAAATGCATGTTATGTTTTTCCTAGACTATTAGTAGTTATAAAAGACTGCATTAAAACAGGTGTTAAACAAACCATAAAGTTTTCACTTTGCAGCCATATTTGGGCAGCTATTTCGAGCATGCAAGTCCTTTCTACTTGACTCTGAAAATCCTTGTATGGAGTTGACGTGGGCATGTTTTATGCAAATGACTAACCTCATCTGTGCAGTAAAACACCAAATTCACTAACTTTAAAATAAGGTTATGAGCAAATTTATGCGCAAGTTAGGTGTGTAAGGAATCGCTGTTGATTAAGATTAATATCTTTCATTCAATTAATTTATTTAATTCATTAATAACTTGTAGATTTATTCATCATTTGTAACATTGCAGAGAAATTCAGCGCCTCCTGCAGAGCCTCCTGTGTCATTCAAATGGCATGTATGAAAGCATTGTGGATTTCCTGTTAAATATATTGATGGCAGAGAAGGCTGTGATGTGATGGCACCTAAATGCTTTCTTATGTTATTAATTGGGTCTTCTGTTACTAATTGTTTAGACTGCATTAATGCATTCAGTTTAGCTGCACAATTAAACATGAAAAGATCGGGTTTTCAATTCAAACGTCCAAGCAACAAATAAGATGATGATTTGCATGTTAAATATTTTTTTTTAAATCTTTTTATTGAAATGTAATAAACATATGACAATATAACATCATAATCATATTTGCATCTTTGTTTTCAATTTAGAGAAAAAAGACAAAAATTATGGGAAAAAAAGCAAAAAAAAAAAGATTTAAAAAAAGGGAAAGGGGGGCACAGGTTGTTTGAATTAGTAACAGATTATTTTAGAGAAAACATTAGGAAGAAATTGTTAAAAATACAAATCTTCTATAGAAGGCATGTATCAAATCATTAATATGACAATGGCTTGTTTAAACAAATCTTTGGAAATGGGGGGAATATGTAAATAAGCTAAATCAATGTCAGTTTATTTCTTCTTTTCCTGTTTCATTTAATAAATTGCTGAAATTTAAAGTAAGATATATATAAAGGGTGTCCACGTTTCTCAAAGACTGTAAGTTTGCCTTTTAACATGTATAATATATTTTCCATATCTAAACAGAAGGACATATTAGTGATTCACTGTACAATAGATGGCCTTTCCATTTTCCTGCAGTACACAGCTTTTAAACGCTTTGCTTGGAGTATACTTATATCGATACGTTTACGAGTACTGATGTGGCGCTCAATATTTTCACAAGTAATTATTTGCGTGTTCATTAATCTTTTGAAGCACTGCATTCAAGTCTGCTTTTGATCGAGGAAGAGATTCAGTTTTTACCCTTTTTCAGTTAGTTACAAAGTTACAAACAAATAACCCAGAAGTACTGGGAGAACAGTATATAGTTTAGATATAAATGTTTATGTTTATGGTAAAAATTCAAATCACTGTTTAATCACCGTCACACACCTTTAACTTGATGCTGAAAAATAAAAGCTGTAGCAATTACATTTTTTAACCAACCATCAATAATATGCCCCTGAATAATTATTTGAAAGTTATATATCTAGTAATTAAACATGAAACATTACATTAGTAATGTAACATTAATTAAAAATGAGACAAATTATGATTTTAGATTTGTACAATTAGCAACAGTAGCTAAGATCATTTTACTACTTTTTTTATTCAGCTGGTTATTTCATGATTTTATTTGTATTAAAATGAAATGTTTTAAGTTCTGTTTGTTAAAACCAAAAGTTCTTTTAACACTATTTTTGTAATAAATGGCAAGCAAATTACATTAGTCTCCTCCTTTTTGGCTTATCTAAAGAAATGGTCCGATCTGTGACTAAAAAATCTGTTCTGTTACATCACTAGTGTTAATGCATGTGTTCTGAAAATGCTCATGAAGTTTTATTTGAGAGTATAAATACAAATGAATCCATGCAATGGTTACTGAATGAGACCTGTTGCTTTATAGTGATTATTTAGGTTATTTAATTATATAGGTGAAATTTTAGAATGAGAGAGAGGGGAATTAGTTCTAGTAAAGTCCACTAATCTGGTCTCTGCTTTTCTTTAGCTACAGAAGAGAATAGCTCCTCTGCCAATGAAGAAATGGATGTGGAGACTGAGAGGGAGAAGGTTTCAGAGGACACCCGGGTCACCCCTTCATCTGTTATAGGTAAAACCTAAAATTATAGTTTACAATGTGCTTAAAAAAGGAGAGTTCACCCAAAACTAAAAATCCTTACAATGAAGTGTTTCTAAAGATGAATTAATCCCTTTCTTCTCTTAAACACAAAACAAGATATTTCAAAGAATGTTGGAAATCAGCAGCCGTTGACTTCCACATTAGGAATTAAAAAAACCAATGAAGTCGATATCTGTTTTTCCAATATTCTCCAGTATATCTTCAGTATATCTTCCTTTCTGTTCAACAGAAGAAAGAAACTTAAGTTTAGACGTGGAGGATTAGTAAATGATGGCTGAGTTTAAAATTTTGGGTGAACTGTCCCTTTAATGACACGTGAAGAAAAAATATATAAAAGGGCTACTTTTGTTGTCCTTTGTCAGATCTTCAAGAAGAAATACAGTCTGAGCTTAGGATCGAGTCATCGCGAAGTGATGCTATTGTAAGTTTCAATGAAGAACCAATATTTCACAATATTGGCTGCTTGTTAAAGATGTTGTCCTTTTTCATAATAATATCTTTTGTTTTTAATTACAGCCAGAGCCGCATTTAGAAACCACAGACAGAGATACAAGTTACTCACCTGTTATAAGAATTAAGGATGAGCCTATTGATGAAGACTATGATAAAGCGTTAATGCCAGAGTCAGACTTGAGCCGAATTAAACAGGAGCTTGACGGGTCTGATAATAATGAGACAGAGGTAAGTTTGGTTTTCGTGTGGAAGTGCTGTTTTTATCTCATGTAAAATGTGTTAAATGTGATAAAAGACGTCTGCCTCATTTCAGGCCTCCTCTGCATCAGATGAACTGAGGATTAGCTCTGTTTATTCTGTCAGTGGGAACAGCAGTGATGCAGTTTCTGGTAGGAGTCTACAGTGTTTTTTATGTTAATGTACAGTGCCCTACGCTAATATAAGCACCCTTGATAAATATGAGGATATGAGGCTGTAAAAAAAAAAGTCATTATTGTTTAAAGTCTGCGTGAAATTAAAAATAGCGCACATTGTTATTCTTTAGGTGAACAATTATTAAATTTTGACTGCTGTAGTCACAATATTCTTAACCACACCTCCATATTCTTAACCTCTAATGGCGATGATACACAGGGGAACTTTTTGGGCAATTTTGCAAAGCGATATTGCTTGGCTACATTTCTACCAAAAATTGGTAAGAATATTGTATCATTAACTCATTGCCCAAATTAGTTACCGTTTCCCACCTGGTTTCCAATTTATGGCATTATTTCAACAAATATAACAAAGTTGCCCAGAAATATTGCTCAAAAAGTTGCCTTGTGCATAATCAGCTTTAGCGTTAGTTTGTTATGAGGGAATGATGTTTAAAAAAAAAAAGCCCTGACCCTACTCAATATTTTGATTTAGTTGGAAGTACATCGACAAATAAAGCTTTAAATAAAATAAATAATAAAAAAAAAAAACTAAAATAAGTCTCAGCAAATTCCAGTTCACATGCACTTTAACCTTTTTTGAACTTATGCTCAAGATTTAACTATATCGTTACGTGTTTATGTTGTTATATTGGATGAGACGTAACTTTAAGTGAGTTTCTACTACTGCTGGGTGAAAATAAGAAAAATCACAGCAAACGGATATGTGAAACAATTTATTAAACAATAAATATATGAATTGAGAATGTAATTTAAATGACTGAATCAAACGAAAGACTGAAATGTTGCAGAAACAAATAAATAAAACAATCCAACTAAACCCCAACCCACTAAACTAACTAATCAAAGAAAAATGTGGAAATGTGTTGCTGAAATCCGTAATCTTCAGTGTATGCAACGCTTAACTAAACTACTCAAAATATTCAAAACATAGTTACAGGTGTGGCAACTCCGTAAACTAACACAAAAGACGATTCTACTAGAGTTCTCGTAAAGTACACACTGTTAGCAATTAGCAAAACAAAAGCTTATATGATAATCCGATTCTCATAAAGATTGTTCGACTTCTTAATAATCGAGTTAATTGAGCTACAAAAGCTTATCTTAACATTAAAGCACTTAATGAGGGACAAACTACACAACAACAAATCCAAACACGAAAGAACAGGCTGGTTGACACAAGTGAGGAATTTGGTGTTGAGTCAGGTGCTGAACAGTGAATGCTTTTTATACTCTGCGTACCAGCTCCCGATTGGTGCACCGTGCGACATTAGAATAATTATTGACGGCCATTTTAACCAATGTTGGCACATATGGGGCAGGACAGAATACACAACTGGAAAGAAAAGAGAAAACAAAACGCAAAAAAATGTGTGAAATGTAATAATATATATATAAAGCTTTCATTAGGGCTGTGCAAATAATTTAAATTCAATTTCGCTTTAGAAACAGTAATCCTTATAAGAAAAATCAAATAATCACAGCTGGAGAATTGCAGAAGTCAGTTTAGTCCTGGGGTTAGAAACTCTCCAAAACTACAACTCAACTCTCAAATCTCTTACATCTCCACAAACTGTTTTAAACAAAGGTTTTCAAGAAAGAAGCCTCTACTGTCATCCATAAACGCACATAGGCATCATTGTTCAGCCTTTGCATTTGCATCCTCAAAATATATTAACAAAAGACGTTTTTTCAAAACCTTCTCTTATGTAAACCGTGTAGATTGTGACTTTTCGATTAAAAACAATTTCAATGGTGTACAGGATTTGTCTACTATTCTAATGAGTTTGTTTTCACGCAGCATCCGTGGCACCTTCCCAGCAGTCTTCCTTCTCAGTAATCTCCCAGAGCGCTGCATCACTCAGAGGAACCACTATACTCCTGCCAGCCCAAGCCCAAACTCCACTTCAGCTCCAACTGCAGCATAAGGCCCAGATGCATTCTCAAATCCAGGCACAGGCTCGAATGCAGCCACCCATGATGGCCCAGGCCCAGCTGCAGGCTGTTCCTCCTCAGCCGCCCCAGATCCACGCTCCTCCACCCACAGTCAGGATCTGCTGCTCGGGCTGCTCGAAGGTCCTCCAGAAGGGGCAAACGGCGTTCCAGCGAAAAGGCTCCAACCAGCTGTTTTGCTCCACCGTGTGTCTAACGAGTTTCAGTTTACCCTCGGTTCAGTTTACACCCATCATCGCCCCCAAGAAAACCTGCCACCTCTGCCTTAAGTGAGTTATCATGTAGAATAATTGTTCTGCTTTTGGGTGTATACGTAACCCTTGTGTGATGTTGAGTGGGGCTGTGCGATTTGGGGAAAATATTAAATTGTGATTTTATTTATGTATTTGTTTTTATTTTTTTCACAATTATTGCGATTTCGATTTGATTTGCTATTTTAATTTTGTAGTCAATCTTCAGCTCAATATTGTGTATTGTTGCTTCTTACAGCTAAAATGCAGTGAGTGTTAGTTAAAAAAAGAAACTGAAAAGATATTAACTTAAACATTTATTCAAATTTGTTTTTAAGCATTCAGAAATTAAACACTTGTTTTTCTGTAGAGCAAACCGTAAGCACAAATAACATGACCTAACCTGTCTGTAAACAAGTTCAACTTAAAATAGGGAGATAGTGCAGCTTATTATACAAACAGAAAATAATAATTATTAAAATACAGAACACGCAGCAAACCAATGGCTGATAAGAGCCTTTCTGTAGCTTCTATTGTCTAAAAGAAAATAATTATCCCAGATGCCACACAAAATATCACAACGTTAAATTTACAGCTGTGGTACTCCAAAATGGCTAAAATAGGTGCGAGATGGAAGCAATCCTGACCCTCTTTGGTCACTGCATTAAAAGGCACCGTGTCTTTAGCGAGGTAGTGCGTTATGGAATTAGTTATTTTCTGGGTAGGGTTGCACCAGCTGTTTGTAAGTTCTTTCTAAACTGGAAGATAAAATCAACACTAGGGGCATTGTAACTACTAGCTAGTTTGTAACTAAATTTATTTACATGTTCAAACCGTAATTAGTAGGTCGTAAGCTTTACGCAAAGTTGCAGTGAACGACGTAATATCCAATAAGAAGCATTTAAATCGTTTAACGGCTATAAAATTTTGCACCTAATGCATCTACATGTATCTGTCCTATGAAAATGAAATGACTAATTATATTTTTGTAGTACATTACATTACAGTCAGTCACTACAGATGACTCGCACACGAGATACACGAAATACACATGAACATTAAACTTACATTTTTTGTGACTTTAAAACCAAAATATCCCCATATGACTGATGTCCTTTTTCTTTGATATTAATTTATCTATTAATGCTTATGAAGCAGCAGACGCCATAAACCCAGTCAACTGCGCTTTCCTGTTCCTGTTTTTTGTGGGCGTTCTGCATAGTTCAGTTGCACAATTCTGATTGGCCAGAACGAAAGTATGCTCACTGAATTGGCTAGTACAGGGGTCGACGAGCCGCATGCGGCTCTTTAGCGCTGCCCCAGTGGCTCCCTGGAGCTTTTTCAAAAAATGTTTGAAAACGGAAAAAGATGGGGGAGGTAAATATATTTTTGTTTTAATATGGTTTCTATAGGAGGACAAACAATCTTAACGTTTTCCAATGCTGTAAAAGTGTGTAGAATATTTATTTTCAACATTTCTGTCAACGAAGATTTGCGTCATAGCCTGCGACACACGGAATAGGCAGGTGGCTGTTGTAAACTATCCGGCGGCTGTGTGATGCGCCATGGAGCGCAAGCTGTCTTTGCCAAAGATGTACAGCGGGGCACGCTCTCTCATTTTCCCTCCCTGAGAGAATTCAAAGAAGCCCATCCCGATCACTCACTCGACTGTGATTATTTACAAGGTGCGATCGTTGATATGCAAACTGCATTTGGGAGCAGATTTTGCGAGTGGCGAAAGGAAAAAACGAGACTGTCTTTCCTTGTCACACACCCCTGGAGATTGACCCTTCCTTGTTGAGCACATTCCCAGTAAGGGGCACGTTATGCACGTTCATTTTGATGTTGTTTTTTGGAATCCTCAAAATAAAAAACATCAAAAATCTGATTTCTTTACTGCATTTCTTTAATTTCATCAAAGCAAAACATGATGCATTAATATTGTAATGAAGTTAAACTTGAACATTAAACATAATTCATTGATATTGTAATAAAGTTAAACTTTAACATTAAACATAATTCATTAATATTGTAATGAAGTTAAACTCGAACATTAAACATAATGCATTAATATTGCAATTAAGGTAAACTTGAGACGGCATCGTACAACAGAGTAGTCACGTGGTGCGTCATTCTCTACAGGATGCACTGCAGGGAAAAAAAAACATTTAATCATGAAGGCTCAGTATGTATTTGTAGCCAACTAAATCATTTTTATAGTAGGCTAATATAGCTAATATAAATACATACAGCATGTGTTGCCTTCATTATAAGGCTTATATAAGGCTTTTAATTTTTTGCGGCTCCAGACATATTTGTTTTTATTTTTTTTGGTCCAGTATGGCTCTTTCAACATTTTGGGTTGCCGACCCCTGGGCTAGTAAGACACCATGCATGCACTTGTTAAAATAAATAATACATATTTCATATCGCAGCCTCTTGCGATTAGCTAATTGCAACGTTTCAAATTCAATTAATCGCACAGCTCTACTGTTGAGGATGTTTTCATCCACTCTGAGGTGATTTTTAAGTCTTAATTTGTCCACAACTTTCTCTGTTTCAGCAAATTGAATGATTTTTTGGTGACAGATCTTATTGTCACTTATTTTGTAATGGTCTGAAAGTTTTCAAAAACTCAACAATACACTCTTGAAAAATTTACTACCTTACTCAATAGAACTTTATATAAAGGCTAGAAACTTTTTTGCACATGCCTATCTGAGTGGTTAATGATGTCAACTAATGATCAACAGTAAAAATGACATAATAATAAAATAATATTTTTACCTCTTCCCAACAGGGAAAGCCACAAACAATTAAAAAATGCCTAATTAGATGGTGTCATGGTTTTGAAATAAAAATAAATATAACCTTTATAATGGAAGTCAATGGGGCTTGATTTGAACAATACAAAAGGGTTAAAAATGAGGCAGAGCATTTATAACATGACATCGCGGGCATTCAGCAATGAATATAAAAATTGGCTTATTTTCCAAAATGAGTTAGTGTTTGCCAATTAAGATGTTAAGATGTATATATTATTACTGTAAGACTACTGAAAAAAACAATATATATTGCATTATGCAAAATCTTTATTGCATTGTTTTTTTACATAAATACATTTTTAAATGTATTATTTAGCATGTTTCATTTTCAAAAAATTCGTCTTATATTCTGAAAAATGCACTATTCAGGTTTTTAGTTGCAAAAGATGCTAATTTAAAAGGACATGCATTGGAATGCAAATTTGAAGGGTAAACTATCCTTTTAAGACAAACTTTTACTCTCCCTTTAAAATTGTATAACTGATTGTTCAGATGAAATTATGGAAATTAGATTTGACCATGTATAAATGAATGCAAATTAAATGAATGGTGGAACTGATATTTTTTTTCCTCTGTTGTCTCAAAGGGTCATTGTCAATCTAAAGGACTTGATTACCATCCCTGTGGGCTCCATGAACACACTAAAGGAATTCTGCAGCCAGGCTTGTCTAAGTATTTATAGAGACCGATATGAAGATGCACCTCCAGATCTGTTCACACACTGCAATGTCTGCAAGTTAGTCAAAGAGGTAAAGCTTAACCACGCATTAAAAAAAAAAAAAAAAAAAAGCATTTCATTGTTTGACTTTGCTCCCCCATGGGCTTAATTAATTTGATTACAGCATTAGCTCACTGGAAAATGAATATTCTGTTATTAATTACTCATCCTCATGTTGTTCCAATCTCCCAAGACCTTTGTTCATCTTCAAAACACAAATTAAAATATTTTTCTAATAGATGAATTTCGAGAGCCGTCTGACTCTACATAGACAATAACAATCCAGAAATGTTCAGAAAAGGAACCAAAAACATTTTCAAAATGCTCCACGTGACTTCAGTGGTTAAACTTAAGTTATTTGAAGCTTCAAAAACACTTTTGTGCACCAAAAAGAACTGCAAAATCTACTTTGTTAGCCTCTTCTGCATCAAATAAGGGTGCTAATTGGGCAGAACAACATATTCCCATTTAATTCAGCTGCAGCACAATATGCAAGCATCTGTAGTAAATGTGCAGTCTGTAGTCTTGTCATCTATCCAAATTTTAGGAACAACAAATAATAACTTGTCTTCTGGTTGATCATTTGGAATCAGAAGTAGTTTATTTAAAAGGCAAAGGCCTCTAGATTACACTTATTTTACCAAAATACAATATGATCATGCCTTGATTTTTAATTATTTAATTAGAGCAGTAAGGTCTGGCTTCGCTTAGAAAACAGAAGTGATGTACAGTATTGAATTTAAAGGGCTGTGAAACCCCCTTGTTTCAGCAGGGTTTTTCACACCTCTACTTTGGAAAAAATCTGGAAAGTGGGCGTATCCAGCTCTGTTTAGAGGGGAGTGCCGGAGGAGCAAAAGAGGGAGAGTATGTAAAAATTTTGCATAAATATGGGAGTGTTGATTGGGGCACGCCCTGATTTTCAGAGTCAACACATTTGATTCATTTTATTTGGAATGACTAATACTATTAAAACAACACAGCATCCAAATAATCGTAAGGAGCCCAATACAAGCAGCATGCAACCATTGATGATCTTTTGCCTGGCACTATTAGACACTCAATCCATTCTGCGTGCAGTATTAAGTAAATGGATTAAGGATAGAGATGGCATCGTCTTCTCCACACATGAAGACTGCCTATTATTGCAGAAACAGAACAATACTTTGCAATTTGTTTAGAGTTTTTTTTACTGAGTCCGGCAATTTGTAGTCCTCTCACACACAGTTTATGAACATGCCCAAGGCTACCGTAAATTAAAACCACCAACTTTGTGTTGTAACACACACACACACACAGGTGAAAAGACAGTGACTGTGTTTACTTGCACATCAGTAATCGAATTATTTGACATTATTAATTGGTGGACTTTAACTGCAGTTTGGCTCTTTCATTCAGGAATTTCATTCATGTCCCTCTTGACAAACTAGATATTTGATTCGAGGAACTGCTCTAAGCGTGTAATTTTCCTGCAATGTTTGATACCGCAAGGAGAATGAGAGAAAAAAACCCTCTGCATTTCCCAGAAACTTATGCCTCGTTTCCACTGACTCGTATAGTATGGTACGGTTCGGGTCGGTACGACAAGGTTTGTTTGAGCCCGGTTCATCCATGGCTGGTTATAATGTGCATGTAGTTTTTCCATGTAATTTCTCAGCTTTGTATTTAAAAAAACATGGAGGTTCCTTTGTTGTTCTGTGTAGCTCCACGAGCTAGTGCTTGATGTATCTCTGTAACCAATCAGCGTTCAGCTGCACGTGTAGCTCCACCTTTTGGTACCCTTTCTCCGAAAGGGTGCCAAAAAAGTGGTGGCTTTTGACAGTGGCAGTGTCTCCGTCATCTGAGCCATAAAAGCGTACCGTACCGTACCGTAACACTCAGTGGAAACTGGCCATTAGATGCACTCGGCAGGTAGCGCCAGAAAGCTGTGTGTGTTATTCCTGTCACAAAATGCGGTGAAAATCCTACACGACGGTAAGTTTGATTGTGGTGCTAACATGTGCTAACTCGGTGTAATAGTTAGTACAATACGAACTAATTACGCTCTCGGGTAAACAATGTTCCTTAGACGCGTACTGTTGTCGAGCGTCGCGTGGACTGTAATCCACATGTGAATCCAGCTGTGCTCTCATAGAGAGAAAATGAAAACAAAACCTTTACTGCAGCAAATTATAAAAGCAACACTGCTTGTTTTGGCAACACAACGTGGCGTCTCTCTGCCGTCTGAACACTGTAACTTTAATAAATATTAATGAAGTTGCACGATAGAGTGCACTGATTGGTTTAAACCAAGTCTTACTCATGCATTAATGCAGCACACTCAGAGATGTAATAAGGCACCAGTCTACAAGCTGGAATACAGATCTAAGATCTCATGGGTGTGACGCAGCTTCAAAAATTTGTTTTAAACCGGAAGTACGAATTTGCTCGAATAAACGCAAAATCAATCAATTTTCACTTTTTACTGTAATATATGTGTCCTAATAGTGTTTTTGGCAGTCTGGGACTCATATACGACTGTCAACAGATCAAAAAATGTGTCTTGGTGTTTTGTGACCCTTTAAGGTCACTGCAGTGGAAAAAGAAAGAATATTGTGTATGACTGCATCCATATATCTCTGCAATGAATCAAATAACTTGATAAAATCGTCTGGAATGGCAAAGAAAGCATTCCTGCAGGACTCTCAGAGTTCATCAAGAACCTTTGGATTTATCTTTAATGCCTCCTCCTTCATTTTATTCCAGACATGCTCAATAATGTTTATGTTTGGTGACTAGGCTGGCCAATGATCAATGACCATGATTTGTCCTTCAGCTAACTTTCAGCTACTGATTTCTATAAGAATCTTGGGTCCATGCAGGTTCCAGTTGGTCTTCTGGAGTATTTGTGGGGACTAAGATGCAGTTCAGCAGATGATTTTTCAGGAAAACCAACCTGCTAAAATCTGCCTTCTGATCAACTAGAAATCAAGTTATTATTTGTTGCTTTTACAACTGGGATCAACAACAAGACTTTCGTCATGTAGTGTACATGTGCAGAGTATGGTAATTAAAAACTAAACAGACCAAAAAATAACTCAGATAAACAATTCATGCTTGTGCTCAGCCTATGCATCATGTTAAAAAACACAACACTTATGGCACACTGATGTCATGCAAGGCTTGTATAAATAACACTTTAACCCAACACAAGGTCAGAGAAGGTCAAAGCGACTTGGACTCCACGCAGTTAAATGCAGCATTTAAGCCATGAGCTGTTTTTCTTTTCATTCCAGATTCAGCATGAAGTGACTCATTTGGGTGCCGTGCACAAGCTGTGCAGCGATGAATGCTTTGCACGCTTCAGATCCTCCCGAAACCTCTACATGAGCTACTGTGAAAACTGTGGCAACTGTAAAGCCTCAGGAAACTATCACCTGGTTCAGATAGACGATAGTATTAAGAAGTTTTGCTGCGTCGAATGCATCGCCAATTATAAACAGGTACTTCATTATTGCACAAAAGAACTGTAGTTATGGGATAATGGGATGTGCGGGTTAAATTTTTTTTCCTGATCATATTTTCTAATTTATTGTAAAAGGAATAAAAGTAAAAAAACAATGAACAGGACATAAATGTGACTTTAGAAACCAAATCACTGTGGAGTTAAATCTGTTGTCTTTCTTATGGTGACGAAGAAGAGTGGCAAGCGGCTTCACTGTCCATACTGCCAAGATATCAGAAACATTGATCAGATGATGGAGGGCACGAACATACAGGGCGTCACTGAGTTCTTCTGCTCTCAGAGATGTGTGGCTTTGAGTCAAGCATCTCCCAGTTTGACAGGTAAATAAGCATCATTACAAATGTCCTTTCTTATGTGTCCAGGTCACAGTTTATCACAAAATTACAAGACATTGCTTTGCAAGAGCAAAAAAGGTTTTTTTTAGCTGTACATTTTTTTGTTTATTTCTCATTTTTATTATTCTTATTACTCTAAAATGGATACTCACCGGCCACTTTATTAGGTACACCTTACTAGTACTGCAGATATGTCGGCTGCACATCCATGATGCGAATCTCCCGTTCCACCACATCCCAAAGGTGTTTATTGGATTGAGATCTGGTGACTGTGAAGGCCAGTACAGTGTACTCCTTGTCAGGTTCAAGAAACCATTCTGAGATGATTAGGGCTTTATGACAAGGAGCATTATCCTGCTGGAAGTAGCCATTAGAAGTTGGGTACACTGTGGTCATAAAGGAATGGAACAATACTCAAATTGGCTGTGGCATTGTCATGATGCTCAATTGTAACTAATGGGCCAGAAGTGTGCCAAGAAAATATCCCCCACACCATTACACCACCAGCCTGAACCGTTGATTTAAGGCAGGATGGAACCATCCTTTCATGTTATGGACGCCAAATTCTGATCCTACCATCCGAATGTTGCAGCAGAAATCGAGACTCTTCAGACCAGGCAACGTTTTTTCCAATCTTCTAATGTCCAGTTTTGGTGAGCCTTTGCGAATTGTAGCCTCGGTTTCCTGTTTTTAGCTGACAGGAGTGCCACCCGGTGTGATATTTTGCTGCTGTAGCCCATCTGCTTCATAGTTGGATGGTTTCAGAGATGCTCTTCTGCATACCTTGGTTTGTAACGAGTTACTTTTGCCTTTCTATCAGCTTGAACCAGTCTGGCCATTTTCCTCTGACCTCTGGCATCAACAAGGCATTTACGTCCACAGAACTGCCACTCACTGGATATTTTCGGACCATTCTCCGTAAACCCTAGAGATGGTTGTTTGTGAAAATTACAGTAAATCAGCAGTTTCTGAAATACTCAGACCAGCTTGTCTGGCACCACAACCACACCACGTTCAAAGTCACTTAAATTGCCTTCCTTCCTTAATCTGGTGCTCAGTTTGAACTGCAGCAGATCGTCTTGACCATAAATGCATTAAGCTGCTGCTATGTGATTGGCTGATTAAAAATTTGAGTTAAGGAGCAGTCGGACAGGTGTACCTAATAAAGTGGTCGGTGAGTGTATATGTATTATTTATTTTTTTTAATTGAAATGTTTGATCTAGCTTTGGTTGTGTAAAAGTAACACAATTATTTATTAAATGAAATTTTGACAATGTAAAAGTAAACTCTGATTTTTAAAATAAGTTTTAATGAATCTGAGGAATGCTCAAAATATCACCACCTGTGTGAATTATTACATATTTATCATTTTTGTTTTGATAGCTTATTTCAGTTTTCATTTAGCTAAAAGTTTTATTTTCCAGAATGTTCATTTGTAAATAAAAAAATAAAGAAAGAAAACGTTATTGCCTTCAATGTATGACAAACATGCTTTTTTGTTAATATTGTTAGTGAAAGTAAATTATATTTTTTTCAGTCTTCTCTTTAGATTTTGCATTTATTTGTTTGAGATTAACTTGTTCATTTGTTCTTTATTACTAAGCAATCTTGCTTTTCTTTAGGCACTGCTTTCCCATGCACATCTTGCAAGAAGGTTGTCATTCCTCAGTATCATCTTGCCATTTCTGATGGCTCTATCAGAAACTTCTGCTCATTAGATTGTGTGGGCAAATTCCAGGTACAAATCCTTAATTTGCTGTTTCCAATATACATTTTATTATGATGAGTGGTTAGAATGATTTAGCATATTTTGTATATTGTTATAAATTAGTAGAGAATATATATAAAAGAAAGTCATTTAATTCTGTGATTCAAAGCTAAATTTTCAGCATCATTAGCATTACTTCATTCTATATTATTCTTCCCTGTAACATGATTCTACAGAAATCATTTGAATATTTTTTTGTGTTCAGGAATCATTTCTGATTATAATAACATCAGTTACGTTGTGAATGTCTTCATAACTCCAAATGTCATTTAAAAACTCTGATGTTGATTTTCCTGATCAAAGCAGTGTATTTGAAGCATTAGTTTCTCGCTTCCTCACACTGCTGGGTTCAGAATCTACAATATCAGTTTAATTTTTGCATGATCATAGGGTGTTGAGATGATTCATAAACAACACAATAGAGGCACAGTAATTGATTGTTTAATCTTGAATAGTGAGTCATAATAAACAACAACACTTCAGGACGTCATGACAGAAAGAATAGCTTGTTCACATGTTTGTTTTCATGTGTACGTTGCATCTGCTCTCTTTTGTCTTCAATATTCTAATACAACAAATCATGATTTTTTTTTTTCTTTCCTGCAGGAGAAGCTAAACTCTCCTGTGCCTCATAATCAGATGAATGGTACTTCACATACACCCCAGCCCCAGAGTGCCGTTCCCCCTCCACCTCGTCCCACTGCTGACCATCTCCAGCCCATTCAAAACTCATCCAGCACAAGCCACAATCCTCCTCCTCCTCCTCCTCCTCTTCCACCTCCTCCACCATTTGTACCACCATCAAACCCAAATCCAGTTCCCACATACGTGCCTGCTCCTGGTGTGATGAACTCGCAGGACACCCAGCAGCAGCAGCAGTGGCCGAGCAAACCTCCCTCGTCCTCAGACCCGATGCGACTGACATGCAGACAGTGCCAGAACCACTTCAGCTCCAAGCCTGAGGTCTTCCAGTTCAAGGTACAGCTGCTGGCTGAATCACAGCTATGCAACACTAACAGTAATGCAACTGAAAGTGTTATTTTATTTTTATAAAACACCTTTATAATAAGCTCCAGACAGTATTGGATGCTTTTTTTTTCTGTTTTGTGAAATCATACTTAAAGGTGAGACTGTGCAGACAAAAACACTTCATTCAATATTGAGATTTGGGGCTTTTTGGCTTTTTATAAAGCATTTTTACACTTTAATATGAAGAACATGTAAAAAATTCACTTTTAAGTGTTTTTTTGTCATACTTGATCAATTTGTGTCTGCAGATTTTAATTGTAATTTATATTTAAGGGTAATTTTCTCAGAATTAGTTTTTTGTCCTTCATCAATTCATAATTTAGTTTTTTTACAGAGACGTAGGTCGTTAGGCCTGTCATGATATCTATTGTTTGGTTTAGGATATATTGCATCAAGATATATTGCAAAAAATGATATTATTGTTATTTTAAGACCATTTTATGCCGCTCATTATACAATGCCAGAATGACACTATAATATCACAATGCAAGTACACTCCTCCAAAGAACACATCATTTTTTATTCTTAAGAATATTTAAAAAAATTATCATGATTATTTTAACAATTTAATAAATAGAAATTGGAATCATTATGTGAAAATGCATATCTTAATAATAAATGTTAACAAAAAAGTGCAAGGTAAAAAGTAATGCTGTGTTCACACCAGGCGCAGCATTTTGAGATTGCTCGCTTCATTTACATGTCTAATTCGCATCACAATAAATGTGAATTCGCATCATGGGCAGGGCATCTGTCTGCCCGGTGACTCTAGCTTCATTGCTAAATGGCTAACATGGATTTTATTGAGATAGTAGTTGTGCTTTATGTGCTTTAGAAAGGCTAAAAAACAGTGTATATTTGTTAGTTGCAGTGTCTGTGTCTGCTAGACCCTTTAAGAGATGCACCTGTGAGTTCATCAACTCCTCTAGAAATAATACCTGGATGACGGAAGCTTTCCTCTGTGCTTCTGACTGAGCCGAGCCCAATTTGATGAACTATTGTCAAGTGCCAGCAAGAGGACTTCCAACAACAGGCACTACGTCACAATTACTCCCCTACAAGAGCAAGCTTTGATGATTGGTTAACACGTCGTGAATCTCTACTGAAGTTCAGATTTTCCAACTTGAGCAATTCGTGCGAAACACGCCAGTACCCATTTAAACATGCAAAACGTTCAACTCGCGCCAGCTCATTCTTGCGAATCACATCATTTGTGCGCCACAGGATGACTTTTCGCGTCTTTGTAACTGGTGTTAACACAGCATAACAGAGGCTGCGATATCTGCTACCAGATTTATTTTCAGTTGTCAGACACCCACACGAAAATGTTCTATAGTAATTTATAGTAAATAATATAGTGTATTTTTTAACCATACTGACACTGACAACTCCAATATATATATATATATATATATATATATATATATATATATATATATATATATATTTGTCATGTCTTTGTGTTGTGTAATAAGTCGATATATTGCTTATTGTGACAGGCCTTGTGTTCGTTAATAGTTTGTTTGTATGCATATTATTTCACAACAATTAGTAAATATTTTTTCCCCCTGGCTTTTAACAGTATTTTCTGAATTATGGAGTAATTAAAATTGATTCCCCAAATCCTCTTTTTAAAAACTTTTGACTCTAATGTGTCCAAAGAAAAACAAGAATTTTGAACCTTACCAATACAATGTTCAAATTGTTGTGCTAAAAATGTATTCAGATTAGCGCATATTTAATTAAACCACCTCATTTTTTATATTTAAACTTGTATTTTAGAAAACCTTTTTGATACAGAATACTTTCATAATTCCTTATACAATCATTCAGTTTTGGAAGTATGGTTATAAATTACCACATTTGTTACCCAATTCTCCAGCAGTTTCTTGTATTAATATATAAATAACCTAAACATATAAATAATATGTTCATGATATTTCTTTTCTTTCTCAGGGTCATGCAGGTTTGTTCTGTTCGCGAGCGTGCTGTGACACATATAAGAAGGAAGGCAACGTAAAAGCTTTATGCGAGTACTGCAAACTAGAGAAAGTGGTCAAAGACATTATTACATACGAAAAACAGCCCAGATCTTTCTGTTGTGAAGGTTGGTTATACTTATGTTATATATTTATTATGCTTGCATTGGTATAATTGTATACTTATGTCATAATACTAACATGTTTATAAGTGTCTTTGGTTAAGAGTCGAACCATGTGATTTAATTGTAAATTTAACGTGGTTCACGTGCCATTGTTACAATTAAATGTTGAATTACTCTAGTTAATTTACATTCATTTTTCTTTTTATAGGCTGTAAACTTCTTTTCAAGCATGAGCTTGCCAAACGACATGGAGGTCAATGCCGGGTTTGTGCCTACTGTCAAAACATGACCCACAAAACCATTCAGAACTTTTTTGGGGGGAAACTGGAGGAGTTTTGCACAGAGGAATGCATGTCGCTCTACACTGTCCTCTTTTATGAGGTTAGAGATGCAGCTTTTTAAAAATATTTCTTTCTTTTTTTTTTTGGATTCTGTTCTTAATTTTTTATGTATATATGCATTTATTTATATGTGTTTTTTTATTTTTGTATTGAAAAAATATATATAATAAAACAATAGAACCAATATACTTATGTAAAACAATAGACTAATGTATTTGAGTATGCCAAATGTATTAATGAATGTTCAAATCCAGAGAAAGAATCTATTTTAAGTAGTGACAAGAACTATGTACGATTTGGTGATGCATGCTCAGACTGCACAGAGCAGCATTATAACAGAGTAATGATATTGCAAATTGAGGGACAATTGTTTTTTTCTCATACTAGTCATTTTTGATTATTCACACATGAATTTGTCGTGTCAGATGGCCAAGTGTAGCGGCTGTAAGAATCAGGGCTCGCTAAAGGAAAGCCTTGTCTGGGATGGAGTCACAAGACACTTTTGTAACCTGTCCTGTTTGCTGCAGTTCTGTTCAAAGTGCATTACACCTCATCAGCCATTGAGCAACGGTACGTCACCATGTAGTTCTTCATGTAGCTTTGCCAAGTTACAATATGTATGGGTCCCATTGTATGTTTTACTAACTCAATTTCACTTAGCAGTTTCTAAATTCACCTTAATTGTAGTTCAGATATTTCTTCCATGTATGTGCAAATCATAATATTCCCCAGGTGTTTGTTTTTGCTTTTGCCAAATTGGTTTATTTAAAGGGATAGTTCACCCAAAAATGTAAGCTCTTTCATCATTTACTTACCCTTTACTTAAACACAAACTAAGATATTTTGGAGAAAGCTGATGTTACGGCCCAAAATCCAAAACTGACTCCATTAATGAAATCATGATTTGAGCCAAACATATGAATGAGACAGACAAATTGACGTCCCCGTCAATATATTTTTAATCTAATTTAAATCAACCTTACAAGAAGAAACAGAAATTAGTAGCAAATAACAGTGGCACTGCAACAAAACAGTTCCCTGACGATAGCTGTTCTTTTAGGAGAGATCTTACCTAGCTCCCGTAAAAAAAAGAATAAAAAATCTTCCGGGCCACTGCTTCCCTTGGTGAACTAAATAAATAATGTAACTATAAAAGTTAATATCCACTACTTGCTACAAAAATAAACAAAGTATTAAAATAAATAAATAAAGCAAAAAAGTAACACATTAACAGCCAGACAGTGTGAGAGAGAGATACTGAGCCGACATTGCCATTGGCCTTATATAGAATCCCAATGAGGTCACCTGTGTCAACCAATATGGGCAAGCTTTTGCAAGCTTCACCCAAAACAAGCGCAGAAACAAAACACACAACCATACCAAAACAATCTACACTGATCCACATAACAGCTGAAAACCTGTTACCATTGACTTCCATAATGTTTGTTTTTTCTACCATGGAAGTGAATGGTTACTTGTTTTCAGCATTCTTCATAATATCTTTTAGTATTCTTATCTAATATCAAAACTAAGAATCTCAAAGTTTTGGAAAGAATGAGTACATTTTTGGGTGAACTGTCTCTTAACACGAAAGTGAACTGTGTTTAATAGTTCTGGGATAACCAGCTTTTTGTGCAGCTTTTAATTGTGCATTTATAAAACCTTAAATCAAGGCTCTAACTTGACCAGGTTTTTAAACGCAAGCCAGTGTTTTGTTTGTTGATGGAGTAACATGCACAAGCCGTAGAGACTCCATCCTCTTATCTGGAATAAAGGTTGGGACTCGGCTCATTTGCATATAAAGAAACACACAAAAAACATTTTTACTTTCACCCAAAAAGAGGCATTTACAGCATGGTATTATAATCAATGAGGTGTTTTGAGTTAAAACGTCAGACACATTCTAGGATTTCAGACTTTTATTACATCTTGAAAGCATAAAAGGATTTCTTTAACCATATTTTTATTTAGCAAAATGAGTCATGTTTATGAAAATGTTAAATGTGATTATCAAAACTGGTTGTATATAGACACAGACTCACACATGCTGTTTTTTTATTGAAGGTACTGTTTCTAACACCACTACAGTTCAAGCTCCGTTATCTCTGTCAAAAGACATGCCTGTAATCGGTGGTGTGGTGTCACTGGCCTCCACATTACCAGGGAATACCGCTCTCACAGGTATTCATTTCTCATGTTTCATTTTTTCGTTATTACAAAATTGTATGTTTTAATTAAATACAATTTCTTTGCAGGAGCTCTGCCTACCTCAAATGCCAGCTCAAAAAATATTGGCGAAGTAAGTACTGATGCACACATACATTGGGTTACAAAATGTTTAACAAAGTATTTAATAGGGCTTTAGAACAGACGTCACTAAACTTTTCAGCTCTTGGCCCCGAAATAGCAATGCAATCACTTGCAACCCCCAAATTCCTCAGTGGTGGTTATAGCTATACAAATGTTGCGCACACAACAATAGACCTATACACACACAAACATATTGGCAACACAAAAAAGTGCAACAGTCTAACAACCATATCATTTTTATAATCATTTATTAATTTGTTTAATTAATATTAACCTTGCCTAAAGAGACTGGGGGTCACAATGTTTTCAGCACAAGTCTATTCTTGGTTTAATTTTTGAGAACGCCACTCCGAGATCATCCTCAATGTTCAGTTGTGGTCTGCATTCATTTTTAATGTATTTGATTGCCATAAAGGTGTCAAAGTTTAACCTGGTGCTATAAAATCAATCTGCTGCAGCTGACAGTGTTGCTTGTGTTGGTAATCTAACGTAAACACACCAATACTATGAAAAAAAATCATTTGAAGGCTGATGGCTTTTCATTTGGAGGTTGTTGGTTTTTTTTTACTATTAAAAACTACAATTTTTGTCTTTGGTTTATGGTTAAAATATAGTAATTCTAATAGTTTAATAAAATGCATTTGATTTTGGAAATCGCCAAGCAACCCCCTGTCATTGGGGGTAGTTTAGAAGACACTGCCTTTCAGAGGTTTGAAAATAATTTAACTTTTTAAGTATACATTAAATAAAAAAAATTGACAATGTTTTTACAGTGGTCCCTCGTTAATCGCGGAAGTTACATTCTAAAAAATAGCCAGCAACAGGTGAAATCCGCAAAGTAGTCAGCTTTATTTTTTACAATTATTTTAGGCCTTTTAAGGCAATAAAACCCGTCACTACATGCTTTTCTCTCCTGTTTAAACACTTGCATAACATTGAACTTCCTTTAGCATGTGCAGAAGTCAAACTTTGTACGATGGTTAGCATCTTCCTCTGCCTTTTGGGTGCTACTATGGGTGCTATTAATGGTGGACTGTTTTGTCGATGTTAAGAGGTTTGTTGGGGAGAAAACTTTTAAACATACAGTACCTCACTTCAGAGTCGCACTGCTAGAGATCAAAGATTTATGTAAATTTGGCGAGCTGAACGCATTCTGTACTGTAACGGAAACACGGCATGGAGTAAATTGATTGACAATGGTTCACAGCCAATCAGGACACAGAACACAATGCGCTGTAAAAAAAAAATAGAAGCATGTCAAAATGCAAAAAAAACGCAAGACTGCGAGAACACAACACACGACTTATGAAAAATAATAATAATCAATAAAAAGTAAAGACAATATAAAAATACAGTTTAGTTTTTCAGCTATACCACATTACAATATGATAAAAACACATAGATTGAGAAAAAGATGATGAGGGACCACTGTATTTCTAATGGGATCTGTTAATTTGAACGTGCTAATGAGTCCAGGAAAACAAAATACATTTAGCTGCACAATAAGTAATAAAAATAATGTTTCTTGAGTGGCAAATCAACATATTGAACTTTTTAAAACTAAGTTTTGCTATTTTAAGTAATATTTGGAAACATTTTAACTACTTTTGACCTCAACAATAATGTATTAGCATTAAAAGTATTATCTAATTTATGTATTTGTTTGTTTGCGGTTTTTAATTGTATATTTATTATTGCTGTTTTTGCCATGAAAACAGGCCTTGTTGCTGACATGGCATTAAATAAAAACATATGAGTGTGATGATAATGACCTCAACTCTAGTACCTTTTAATATTTTGTAAAAATAAGAACGCCATTAATTACTGTTTTATAATGTTGATTTTAGCCCTCAAACATTATTGCTCTTTCTTACAGGCTAGCACACAAACGGATGCTGCAGTGGGTGCTATTCCACATCGAAGAATGTTGAAGAACAAAGCTCTTATGTGCAGACCTATTACGGAAGAGCAGGGTGTCCAGTGTCAGCCAGAGCCGCCAGTCCCTCCAAACATGTCTGAAAAAGGTTGGCCTTCTTTCCTTTCTTGACATTGTTATACTGCCATAATACACAATACTTAAATATTGATTTCACACTTTTTTTTTCTGTTCACAGTGATTAATGAAAACGGAGAGATTGTGAGGTATGTGCCTGTGCCGGTGCCTATTCCGATGCCAGTCTACATCCCAGTGCCAATGCATCTGTACACCCAATACACACCCTTCCCAATGGGGTTCCCTCTACCGGTATGAGATCTTTGCAAAGGCTAATTTCTTTTTTCGATTTGATTTGGGCTAAAAACATTTTCTAAATAACTTGACAGTTTTGCTGTTTAATGCACATCCACATGTCTTCATTTGATTTCTGTTTAGTTTGATTTTGACCTGTCGGATTAATGTCCTCTAGAATCACTTTTTACATGGTCGACTCTTAATCAGAGGATTGTCTTAATCGTATTAAATCAGACTATTGGTGTTCATGTAAATGTACTCCGCCTCAGTGTTACTTTCACTTACTTTTTTTTGTTACTTTTCAGTAACTGAGTGTTACTTAGTTGGCTTTGGCTAGCTGTTTTTGAATGTCTGAAATGACAAACTACTAAACTTTGTTTGTTTTTACACATCCCATAAACTCAAATCCTACTATTTCACTTTAAGTATATCAGGGGTTCTTTAATTATCTAATCGAGTTGACACCATAGTTTGAAGCTAATCTTTGATTTCATGCTGTTCTCGTCCAGGTGCCCGTACCCATGGTTATTCCAGGACCTCAAGATGCTCCTGAACAGAAAGACACTAAATGCAGCCTGCCTGCACAGAGCTCGGTAGAAGATGATGAGCCGGAGAAGGGAAAAGACAAACCTGCGTCCCATGGTAAATAAAGAATTTAGTATCACTCGTCCATTTGCTTCTCCAAGCTTCTCTATGCAAGTGTTAAATTAATTTGTGATTTATTGTCATGTTTAGACCAGGGCAGCACTTACAGTGGAGATCTGGAGTCAGAGGCCCAATCGACACCATTAAGCTGGGCAGAAACTGAGGATGCAGGAGCCAGCGTGAAGCCAGCGGTGCCAGCAACTGAAGCAGAGGAGCCGTCAGCTGAAGCTGAGGACCATACGCCTCCAACCACCAATTTGACAAAGGAACAGCCTGATCTGGAAAATGATTTTCCTCTCAGTGAGTTTCATAAAAAAAAGCATTTTAGGCCAGCTCATTGATCAAAATATTTAGTTGCAGTTAGTATCAATTATATGCTCTCTGTTCAACCTTGTCAATGTTGCTTATCTTAACTCATGTTTCCACTAATCCAGAGGTGTCCAAACTCGGTCCTGGAAGGCCTGTGTCCTGCTGAGTTTAGCTCCAACTGGCTTCAACACCTCTGCCAGGAAGTTTTTAGTATATCTAGTAAGAGCTTGATTAGCTGGTTCAGGTGTGTTTGATTAGGGATGGAGCTAAACTCTCCAGGATGCCTTCCCTCCAGGACCGACGTTAGACATCCCTGCACCAAGCGATATGGTACGGTATTGTAGTGTTGTCACAATACTGGAATTCAATAGCAATCGGTTCTGAAATTTTAAAAACGTCCATTTCCCGCTAAGATTTGAACGCTGTTGAACACATTCTTAAACATCGCTGATTTGCCGGTATGTTTACTTGCTCAACAGAAATTACTGGGATTTGCTGTGAAGGGCATTAGTTCACCAAACTCACCACTGTTAAAGTCACACACACCACAAGTAACCACAAATACAGGGACAATGGAGGGTTTCAAAGTCACGTCGATCAGCTGCTTTGTCTACAAGCTGACATGCAAGCGATCTGCTGATGAATCGTGGCTTTAAAACCCTCTAGTGTCCCTGTATCTGTGGTTGCTCGCAATAAACAGCCATGAGTTTGGTGAATTGATAACGGTCAATCACAGTCGTTTCTGTTGAGGATGTGAACACAATGGCAAGTTTATAACTTGTTACCATAAAGCTATTATTGCAGACATGATCTTAAATCATGTATATATTATAATAATCAAAAATAAATGTAACCTAGCATAATTGAAATTAAGCCAATATTGGTCAGGCTGGAGAGTGATTGACAGATTTGAGCAGACCACCATCAAAGTTTTGATAGTCCAGAGTGATACATTTTTTATTTTGACAAAGAAACTAAACTTCAAATTTTATCTTTCAGTTTTCTTTTTATTTTATGGTTTAAATGGATAGTTCACTCAAAAATTTCAATTGTCATCATTTACTATTTCAAATCTTCATGAGATTTCTTTTTCCGTTGAGCACAAAAGAAAATATTTGGAAGAATGTTAGATATCTGTAAGTATTGACTTCTATAGTTTTTGTTTTTCCTACTATGGTAGTCAGTGGTTACACGTTGTCAGCTTACTTCAAAAATCATCTTTGTCTGGTATAATGTTAATGTTGTTTTCTTGTGTTTATGAAGGTGAATATGGCTATGTGTAAAGTACAGTGCAGTTACGAGCTTATTGCTTATCAGCCATTTTATTAGGTACCCTTACTAGTACTGGGTTGGACCCCTTTTTGCTTTCAAAACTGCCTTGATCCTTTATGGCATAGATTCAACAAGATACTGGAAATATTCCTCAGATTTCGATCCATATTGACGTGATAGCATCACACAGTTGCTGCAGATTTGTTAGTTGCACATTCATCATGCAAATCTGCTGTTCCACTACATCCCAAAGATCCTTTATTGGATTGAGATCTTGTGACTGTGGAGGCCATTTGATTATAGTGAACTCATTGTCATGTTCAAGAAACATCTCTGAGATCGAGACACATTAGACCAGACAATGTTTTTTCAATCTTTTATTGTCCAATTTTGGTGAGCCTGTGCGAATTGTAGCCTCCGTTTCCTGTTAGCTGACAGGAGTGGCACTCTGGTCTTCTGCTGCTTTAGCCCATCCGTCTCAGGGTTGGACGTGGTGTGCGTTCAGAGATGCTCTTCTGCAGACCTCGGTTGTACCGAGTGGTTATTTGAGTTACTGTTGCCTTTCTATCAGCTTGAACCAGTCTGGCCATTCTCCTCTGAACTCTGGCATCAACAAGGCATTTGAGCCCACAGAACTGCCGCTCACTGGATATTTTCTCTTTTTAGAATCATTCTCTGTTAACCCTAGAGCCCGTCTGGCACCAACATCCATGCAATGTTCAAAGTCACATAAATCACCTTTCTTCCCCATTCTGATGCCCGGTTTGAATTGCAGCAGATCGTCTTGACCATGTCTACATGCCTAAATGGATTGAGTTGCTGCCATGTGATTGGCTGATTAGAAATTTGCGTTTAACGACAGTTGGAAAGGGGTACCTAAAAAATCAGCCAGTTTGTGTATATCGTTATGGTAACATTGTTTAAGCATTTTATCCTAAATATAAAAAAAATACACAAAAAAACCCCAACTGAAATTACTACAGCAGTCGCCATCGTTGATCTCATTCGAAGTACGAGCTTATGGCGACATATGATGACCTCTGCAGGTGTTGTATTGCTGTCCCATGTCTAAGTGAGAAATTTGAAGTCCTTCCTCTTCACATTCTGTTTCAAGGGCCAAGGTGTGTGGGTGCAAATCTAGAATTGGGGTTGGGTCTTCATTTCAATGTCGCACTGTTTTATCATTTAAAATCCATGATTCAGTGACGTCACTCATCTTTGAGTAGTCATTTAACACGCAATTTTGACAGCTTTTGTGTATTTAGAATGTGTAAAAATCCCCCAGAGTTGTAACACGCGTCATGTCATTTCACAGCAACGGCTGACCCCGGATCAGCAAAAGAGAACAGACTGGTGTTGACGCTGAAGAGACGTAAGAGGGGCAGAGATGGCCACCCTCCTAGGAAAAGGGTATGTAATCCCACAGAATCAGAGTCCTGGCTTGTTGAGGAGGCAGAACAGAGCGACAGCAGCACATAAATTCAGCCACAGTCTTTTCACAGTTGGGAAGGTTGAGAAGTGTGAAGTCTGGCGAAATGACTCGTTTCCCAACTTTACACAAAGACTCCAGTGTTTGTCTCCGGTCCAATTATGAAACTCGAAAGGTTTTTAATGTCATCTTTTTCACTTGAAATGAGTATTAGCAACAGTTACGAACGTGTAGAACGACAGCCTGACGCAAACACACACTACAGAAAGACGTTTTTAAGAACATTTGAGATCATTTTGGCTGTATTTATTACGATTTATTGTCAGGATGTTTCAAAACACTTGTATTATCATGTTTTTTCATTGGCTTAATATCATGGTCGTTTCAAAAATTAACAATAATCTTTTGTTTATGGTTAATCCGTATATTGATGTTTTTAGTTGTCAGACAGATTTTGCTATTCTTTGTGTTTTTTATACATCAAAAACGGTTTTATAGAGAGATGTACCTTTTGGTGATACAAGCTGCTGTGCAATAAACTCTTCACGTTCACCGAGATGAACACCTGTTACTGCTGTTGTTGAAAATTGGACATAATTAGGCTGGATTTCTTATTAAATTTTGAAAGAAACAAAATGTTGTGGACCATTGAATGAGTGTGAAGTCAGTCAGACAATCTGGCTAAATGAATTGAATAAATATTTAATGAAACAAATTTGTCGCTATTATCCATGAAAATTATCTGTATTGTTCATGTCGTGTTTGCTTCAATGAGAAATGAATTGGAAAAACTTCTGAAAAATATGAGTCTCTCCCTGCTTTTGGATGCAATATGAAACCAACTGAATAAGCAGTTTGTAAAACTAATTTAACTCTGCAGTTCACCCCCCCTTAAATCATAAATGACATTTTCCTCACCTTCACAGGATTTTACACTGGCCTGCATGTCATTTTAAAGCTTTGATTTCTTTCTTCTGTGAAACAGTTGAACTCGAGTAACATTTCATTTGAGGGTGAACCGCTCCTTTAATGATTCTGTCTTGTGCTGAAATTAAACATGTAGATGTCAAAGCCCCGTCGTCCCCTGCAGACTGGCGCTCATTACAGAACTTTACTAGGTTACTGACAGAAATAAAACTTCTTTTTTAAAAGCCCAAAATACCAGCTCCAATTTCTGTTTAGGCTCATCTTAATCTATGAAGCAGTGGTCATTTTCTTTCTTTTCTGCCCAGCGGGCAAAAAATGGGCAGAAATCATTGAAATGTGAAATGTTTAATGTTTTTAAATCTATCCCGAGTCCAAAAAAAGGTTTGTTTGAAAAAATATATATAAGGAAATTAAGGCCTTTTAGTTTGATAAAGGACAAAATGCCCTGTCGAAAATGTACAAAAATGACACTGATTTATTTACTGACATTAGTCTTGGGACACATTTCAGAAAGTAGAGGAAAACTCTAAAATGAGAGAAAGTCTGGGTTTTCGGTTTCAAAATGTCAGGTTTGTCAATCTCAAGAAAGCTCGGTAAGTCAAGTCTGTTTCTGAAAGAGAGGTAACTTTTACTCAGAGTCAGTTACCGTGGTAAATTACTTTGTGAACCTAACCTGGTCACGAGCAGGTTTTATTCTCTAAACTGAATTTCTCCTCTGAGTCTCCTCCTCTTTTTTTTTTTTTTAAAGATGAAGCGGTGTTTCTCGCCTAAGCCTTACCCATTCATTGCCTACATTTCAGTCACACTAAGAACAAAGTTACAAGAATGGCTTGTCCTTTTTTAATAAATAATTAGCTTAAATTCACTGACTTTTGACAGGGACATGGACTGTAACTAGATTAATAGGCTTACTATTCGTTCTAAAAACTATTTGTTTTGTTCTGCTTGCATTCTAATAGTCATATCAACCTCTACCACTTAATTAATAATAAAGACAGACAAGCATGTGCACTTTTAAATCTATTATAAACTCCATTTTAGACATTTTATCTTAAACCTGATCAACGTGTGTAAAAGTGGGAACCTGAAATTAAACATTTCCACTGAAAATTAAGGTTATATGCATTCTTGGTTTGTCAAATTTGTTGTAGAAACTATGCAGTAGTATTTTTTTATATAATTTAATGCAGTTACATCTGAAATAACTTTACAATTATGGCCAATTCCCCACTTTTTTAAGTCAAAAGTCAATAAACCTCATGCATTGCTTTTTTTTTTTGTACTTTATACTTAAATATGTAAATACTTTATTTTAAATGTAAACTTGCGCATTAACTTGAGCATTCATGATTTCCCACACTAACTGTGACTGTTTCGCCAATGCAGCTCCATTGATAATGCCTTTTTATAGCCGCGGTGTGCGCACTTAAATCTTGAGTTAGTCTACTCAGACTTAATTGACCTAACTCAGGTCAGCTATTCTGAAACCGAAAACTTAATTGAGTTTTTAATCTCTTGGTAAGTCAACTCAATTAAGTTCAAGTTTAAACTCTTCAAACTGAAACAGGCCCCAGATGTAAACTCTTTTTTTTTTTTTTCTTTTTTTCTATTATTAAATGTTAAGCACAATCAGGTTTATTCTGTACAGTTGCTTATCTAAATAATAATTAGATTTTCATTTGCAGTGTCTGATTAAAAAAATCTAATACACAGAATTTTCTCTGTACATAAAAACTACTCTGATATACCAAACCACCCATGTGACTGATACATTTTAATTAGATTTTCATGCAGTGCCATAATTAAAAAAAAAAAGCTAATAGGCATGGGCACAGATCTTAAAGGAAAAAAGAATTTAGAAAAACTCTTTTTTTTTTTTTGGTTAAATGACACTGAAATTAAATATTTACTGGAATTAAATATTGTTTTTATGGGTTTCATCTATTACACACATTTTATTATATTTACTATAAACATTTAATGTAATATATAACAAATATATATATATATATATATATATATATATATATATATATATATATATATATATATATATACACATAATTAATTTATAAATGTATATTTTTTATTATATATAATAATTATTATATTTATTTGTGTTTTATTTATGGGGTGGCTCAGTGGTTAGCAAGAAGATTGCTGGTTTGAGTCCCGGCTGGATCAGTTGTTATTTCTGTGTGGAGTTTGCATGTTCTCTTTGTTTTGGCGTGGGTTTCCTCCAGGTGCTCCGGTTTCCCCCCAAAGTCCAATGACATGCAGTAAAGGTGAATTGAATAAACTAAATCGTCCATTGTGTGTGTATGGGTGTTTCTCATGAGTGTTTTTGCAGCTAGAAGGGCATTTGCTGAATATGCTGGAATAGTTGGTGGTTCATTCCACTGTGGTAACCTCTGAAAAAGAAATTGAGCTGATGTAAAATGAAATAATGTATTATATTTTTCTGTAAGGAAAATGGTGAAAAGCTTTTAGCAAATTTCACGTCGTTTGCTTTTACAGCCAAAATGATCACAAAAATATAAATAAATATACATCAAGTTTAATTGCGCAATTTATCAAAAACAAAAAAACTACATTACCCATGAAGCCCTACAGAAAATTCCACCAATTAGAGATTTGCAGTGAGCTAAGCACCCTAAAAAAAATGTTTATATATAAAATATAACACACACACACACACACACACACACACACACACACACACACACATATATATATATATATATATATATATATATATATATACATAGTCAAATTTATGCACATTTTGAAATGCTTGTAATTAATAATATAGTAGAAATGTTAAAGTGATTTCTTAATGTTTTACCATATTCAGACTTTTTTTTGACATGTTTGGATGAAAAAGCCATTTGATGAACTCATCACAAACAACCTTGTCTAATATACAGAAGATGCTCATTGTCATTTACACAACTTCTATTAAAGTCTATAAATAATCTATTCAACTCTAAAGTAGTGCAATAAACTATATCAACATTAGTTATAAACAAATCTCTTAGGTGCATAACTCAAGAGAAAAATCTAAAAAGAACCATGGTAACATCAACAAAAAGCATGCAATATTTACCCTAGCATTGTTACAGTTTTTTTTACCATTGAAATGACAGACATATTTAAATGATGAAAAGGTATTAACTTAAGAAATATATTTTATGACGGCATGAAATAAATGATAAATATATTAAATGAAAGGACTTTTTCATTTGTCCATACCATAAATATCGTCGTATTGCACAGCCCTACTTAGAAGTTGATAAGAGGCACACAGGCCAGTGCAATGAGACTGAATGTGCAGGCCAGATGGAGACACAAGGAGCTGGAAGTGAAGGAGATCAGGATGATGGAGGACTGGTTGCCATGGAGTCAGTTGAAGAAAGTGGCCATAAAAGGAGATGAATGTGTCGGCATCTGTCAAAATCAGCATTTTTTTTTTAACATTCAGAAGTGTCTGAGACTGCTTTATGAGAACTGAACATTATCGTTAATGTGTTTTACTTGACGTTTATTTTTGTATAAGGCCACTCAAGTCATCATCCTTCTTTGTCTTCATTCTTTCCCGAATGAATTTATGTACATACTTTATTATTTTCAGAATTGAGAATAATACATTTTAATGCTGTTAATAGGATTCTCAGTGTTGTAGGATTCAGTTTTGCTAGTAAAATTCTGGATGCTTCTGATGAGGAAATAAAGCGCAACAATATTCAAATCATAGAGAACTATTTTGGTGGCATTTTTCAAGTGTGGCAGAGGTCTTTCTCGCATTCAATGAATTTTTTTTTCGGCTTAGTCCCTTTCTTAATCAGGGGACGCCACAGTGAAATAAACTCTCACATGGTTGCCCACTGAAGCTAAGCAGGGCTGAGAGCAGTAAGTACCTGGATGGGAGATCTCATGGGAAAGCTAGGTTGCTGCTGGAAGTGGTGTCAGTTTGACCAGCAGGGGGTGCTCAACCTGTAGTCTGCGTGAGTCCTTACGCCCCAGTATATTGATAAGGACTCTAGACTGCTCAGTGAGCATGGTCTTTCGCAAGAGACGTTAAGCCTTGCTCACAATGTGAGATTTCAGCCACGATTCTGTCATCTGAGATAAATTTGGGAGATCTTTAAAAATTCCTGAAATCTTTGGCTAAAACCCGTGCTCTTTGATCGTTGGTTTGACGTGTTCACAGACAGCCACTTGGTGCGCGTTGCGATTCGATTTTTCCTCTGATAAAGTTCTGGCATTGTCAGAAGATTTCAGACAGTGGGTATCCTGCAGTGTGACAACAGCTGTGATGAGCGTCAATCGAAGAACCAACAGGAACTCGAGTTTCATGACGCAATCCATGCGACAATTCAAATGATCGCGGAGGAAATGTCAAAACATTTTTTTTTCTTCCTGGTTTTAATATTGAGGCACGCCTTGTGCAAAATTTGCCGCTTCAGATTATTTACATTTGGTGTAAGGAATCATTTCAGAACGCGGGATAGTGAAAGTGTCACGGGTGGACGACGTCAAACTCTTGGGGTATTTTCTTTCGTGTTTGGTGCGTCTTCATTTCCGTTAAGTCTGACTTTATGACTGCTGAGTTCTTACAGTGTGACATGGGAGCCATGATTGTGCAGTCTGTCATGCTAAAATCGTTCATGATTATGAAAAATCACACCATGTGAGTCGGCCTTAAAATCCTGACTTAAGTTGTGATTCTCTGTGGTCCTTAAAAATCCCTGGCTTTATCCCTCTGTCTCCTCTCCACCAGTCAGCTGGTGTGTGGTGTGAGATCTGGTGAAATAAGGGGCCGATCACACAGAACGCACTTCTTGCGTTGAGAGACATCTTTTTTTGAATGATTTATTAACGGCTGTGAGCGTTGTGCTTGCTGCTCATACACCTGCTCACTTCACGTTTAAACTGCCCGTTGCACTGTGTGCTCACTGTTGAAAAAAGTCAACACTTTTGACTGAAAAAGCACGTCAGTCTTTTTCATTCTCCAATCAAATGAAAGCAGAGGCGGAGTTTCCGTTGAGGTGATAGAAGTGTTTGTATTGTCAAGACAACTACGGAAACTTTTAAAGATGGAGGAGAGACTTGTGGTTGCTGTTTTAAGTTATCCAAACCTGTATGACTTTGCAAATCTTGAATTTCACAATATTATTAAAATTGTAAAATTATATTAATATCAACGACAACACTCTCGCACGTTTCGCAGCTGATTTAGACGTTGCCTAGCGACATAAAAACTGCACCACACTCCTTTTTTTGTTGTCAACAAAAAAGGCAGTGTTGTGCGCCTCGCATTTTTGGAATGTAAAAGCGCATTCAGTGTGATCAGCCCCCAAGGCTGCCATGGTGTCACCCAGGTGGATGAGGAGATCCCTATAAACCTCCCCAAGCCCAACAAATTGTGTAAAGCGCTTTGAGTGTCCAGAAAATCACTGTGTAAATGTAAGGAATTATTATATGAAACGCTCTTTTGACATGTTCTGTATTTGCTCTTGTAAAATCTGTTTAAAAAAGATTTTATATTTTTAAAAGGAATAGTTTCAAAGTCCTTTCAGTATTGTGCACTATTATATGATTTTAGATTTAATTTTTTTTATTTAACAGTTATTTTAAAATATTATGATTATAAAATATTTTAAAAAATGAGCTTTTACTTGTGTATTTATTTCTGTATTATTCCCTTTTCGTTCAAATTAATTTCAATAAATCCATGTGCATTTTTAAAAACAGTTCTGTCAAGCATTTTTATATAGTATTAGTTTAGTAGTTTCAAGGTCTCATGAAATTAAAAGAAAGTTTTTTAGATGTTAATATGAGTATTGTTAGTTTTTAGGATATCTATAAGCTAGTGCGCACCAAAACAGTGACAAAGTTAGCATTTAGAAAATATAAAACCGATATATACATGTAAAGCTTGTATTTTGTCACTTCCGCTTAAACCAGGGGTGGCCAAACTCGGTCCTGGAGGGCTGTTGTCCTGCAGATTTTAGCTCCAACTTACCTCAACACACCTGCATGAATGTTTCTAGGGCTGCTTCCGAAACCGCTTACTACTCAGTAGGTACTGCATTTGAATTTAAACGTACTACTCGGCCGTTGGAAAAGTACGTTCTATACAGTATGAATGTGAAAAGTATGAATGGAATTTGGACGTACTACATCCGCCATTTTGTCATGGTCACGTGACCTACCTGCGTCAGTTGCATCGCTTTACTTCCATTCATGAATTCGCTCGCGGGGCATCATGGGATAGCGCAGCATGCATGGGATGCGCACTCCAGAATCTCGCCGGAAGTAGTAAGTCATCTGGGTACTTCTTGCATACTGATTTTCGAATTCTATGAATTCGGACATACTACTCGGCTCGCATACTGATTTTAGCGAACTATATAGTATGGAAGTATGCGATTTCGGACGCAGCCTAAAAGTCTAGTAAGAGCTTAATTAGCTAGCCCAGGTGTGTCTGAGGGGGTTGGAACAAACTTTGCAGGACACCGGCCCTCCAGGACTGAGTTTGGACACCTCTGGAATAAAAGACAACAAGGGTTTTATTCACGTCACCTCATACTTCAGTTTCTCATCAAATAGTGACCAATTAAATGCTCTCTAGTGTTTGATGTGTTTGAACTCAAAAAACACTATTGGCTGTTTTATAAAAAGGGGAGGAGCTACACTATGTCCCTCCATCTCTTCATGTTTCAGTTACGATTACGTTAAACATCGAATAAAAATGCATATTTAAAAGCACTGCACAGGATTTTTAAATATATGTTTTTAAGTTAATAATCTAAAAAGCTGTGTGTAAATGTATTTTTAAATGTTCATGTTCCATGTTCAAGTTTGTTTTTAATAATATTTTTATAATATTTTTCTTTCAATATTTGTTTTTCTTTATATTTAAAGAATATTTAATTTCAGCAAGCATCCAAAAAAACCATGCTATGCCACCTTTTCACATACTTTATCCTCCATTAGTTTTTTTGTCCTTGTAAACTTCCTTCATGGAGTCCTGCTTCTTTCTTGCATAGTAACGCAAACCGTTTCTATGTGTCACCCAGGGTCGTAAGCGATCTGGAACGGACACGTCGAGCAGTGTTTGGCTCAGTACCTCCAGCTCCAAGCTCAACCAAACGTACGGCGTTGAAGCCTGGGCCAGCTGGGTGCGAATGAAAAGAGGCCACGCTGAGCAGGAGCAGCAGGCTCGTAAGTTCACACATATGGGTCAGAACAAGAAGTCGAGACCTCTGCTGTGTGTCATTAGTGAAGGTCACCGTCTCAGCTAGTTTGTGACATTACACTGACCCACCATGTGTCTTAGCAGCTCTCTCTGCACCCACTGTGCTTTATTCAGCAGAGCCCATGACCATGAAGGAGGATGTGTTGCAGTGCTCGTCTGCAGATCTCAGTTATGGTCTGTGCCGCTTTATCAAGGAGGTTCGCAGGCCGAATGGAGAAGAATATCAACCCGACAGCATCTACTACCTGTGCCTGGGCATTCAGCAGGTTTGACCTATTATGTCCCATTTTACAACATTAAAAATTTGTCTCTGATGTCGCTAGTGTCTATGTGAAGTGTCAGCTCAAAATACTACACAGATAGTGTTTTATAACTCTATAACTCCCTTTTAGGCTTTGATCCTAATTTTGGTGGCTGTGGCTTTAAATTTAAATGAGATTTTACTTATTTTTAAAGAGGGGTTGAGCTACAAACGCCTATGTGTCAGCATAGTGGCAGATTTAAAAACAAGACTATGCTAATGAGGGAAAGATCGTCACCAAAGGGCGAGGCTTTCGCCCTCTTATGACACATACAAAAGAAGAATGTCAGTCAAACTGTTTCTGCAGTCTGTTTTTATGATTATAAACAATTCAATTACTACATTTTTACCGTTAGAAGCTGGCTATATTCACAGACTGTTGCCACACAACTGTTTTAAACACTTGGATTCTCTTTAAAGGGCACCTATTTTACCCCTTTTACAAGATGTAAGATAAGCCTTTGGTGTCTTCAGTATGTGTCTGTAAAGTTTCAGCTCAAAATACCCATCAGATAATTTATTATAGCTCTAGAATCTGCCCAATTTAGTGTCTGAGTACAGTGTAGGTGTTTTTATAGCCTGTGGCTTTAAATGCGAATGAGCTGCTTCTCCCCGCCCACCTTTTCCACGTGTGTCTGCTACTAATCATGCCTTACATTAGATAAACAGCAGTTAGTGATAGAGAGACTCTGATGAAGCTAAAATACAACTCATTAGTTAAAAATAGCAAGTAAGTTTATTTAATGTATTTGTGGTGGAGTTTATTCAAGCCTTTCTGAAATGATGAGTCTCACACAAATGCCGTTTGCTGTACACACACGCACACACGCATATTAGTGTTTACTGACACCATGCGGTCGTGGTGATTATAGCGGTTAAGAACTACATAGTAATTTTACTGTCTATTACAAACATCCTCTGTTTTAAAAATGTTTTAAACTTCTAAAAATCACAGAGAGTTGTAACAAATATTTTAATCCGAGTTTCTTTGCAAAAAAATGTTTTGTGGACATGTGTAAACATGTTACTTTAGAAAAATACACCTACGTCACGTTGTGGTGGGCCTCAAAATCACTGGGATTTGGGTCCTATTATAACGTCAGGAAATTTAAAAAAAGACACTTGTTGGGTTTTTATCACTCCAATATGACAGTGGACACACTATACCTACAGACTGTTCTGTCCAAACAGCCTGCAAAAGTTGATTTTCATCATAGCTGACCTTTAAAACATTACAGGACTGCTTTATAAAGTAAACTTCTTTAGGGCTTTTCACACTTGACATTTTTATCCCTGGGTCATCCTAAAACCAGGATAAATGGAAATTCTGGCTTATCTGTTCTCATGTTTCGCACTGCTCATACCATATACCTGTGGACTGGCTTTTCAAAACCAGAACAATTTTATTTAATTGTATTAAATGTGTCCAATTAATTAACAAATGACAATAATCACAAAAAAAGCACAATCATATTTTTGTCCTTTGTAAATGAACTGGATCATTTTAGTTTGTTATTGGTAGATGTTTTGTAAGTGTCAGGCTGCTCGGCCTTGAACATGAACATAGCAGTGAACAGCATTGAGGAGTTTTCACTGAAGATTTAAATGAACAGACAAAAAGATTACTAAAAACACTTTATACTATATAAATGTACACTATAACATTGATGAGATTACACTGAAGAATCTAAATTTTTAAATGTACATTAATTAAAAAAACTATATAAAAACACATTTCCATAAAAATAACACTATATTCCATTAAAAATAAGAACCTAATATATTTCATGGCCATTTCATGCAGATGTTTACAATTGTATAGACACCCGTCTTTAAAAGTTTGTCTTGTTATTATTGCATTAAATTATTATTACAGATTAGATAAGATTAGATTGTGCATTAAGTCATATATTTTATCTTCACTCAATTTGTAGTGCCTGCTTGAAAACGAGCGTCTTGAGAACATCTTCACAGACCCACTGTATAATCAGTTCATCACCGACATCACCACACTGCTCAAGGACTGGGTCAACAAAGTGTCACCTGGAGGTAAACATTTTTAAAAATCTTTTATTTTTTGTTGCTGATTGTGTATCAGACATATAGCTTTAACTTTCCACTGAGGCCATATCAATAGCTAAACCTGAAATGCTAGTTCTGGGCACATCATCCAAATGCTTTGAAATTGTAGGTCTGAGGAGTGTTTTTTTGTTTGTTTTGTTTTTTTTAGAATTGATTTGAATAAACCGTATTTACTTGTATGCACACTAACTGCTTGCTTACAAAGCTGGTTAGCTTAATAACTTGAAATGTCATGCATTACACAATAAAATAATATTTTAAATCCTGTTTTGTGATAGTATTATTGTTCATGCAGTTAGACTTGTTTAATTAATTGTAATTCGGACGTAATTCATTTTGATGGTCCCCATTGGACATTTTATTGACTTTAAGTTTAATTGCAAATACATGCCAAGTACTTCTCATTTGAGTATTAGTAGACTGTCTGCTTAATATCTGCTGATACTGCTCCTTCAATTAATTGATTATAAGAAACTTTGCAAGTACATGTCAGATCACATTAACCCTAACAGTCTACCTATAATCTAATGAGAATTAGTTGGCTTGTAGATGAAATGTAACTCAATTTTAACAAAAAGCATTAAAGTTACCATTAAAATAAAGTGATACCCAATTAAGAAAGTGCATGAAATGTTTGTACCTTTAAAATATTTGTTTTAATACTAATAAAAAAGGATTAAATAAATTATTTTACTTATATATTTATGTACTTATCATTTATATTTTTTTAGCAATTCACAATATAATGATATTTTAAAACCTACTTATGTAATAGTATCATTGTTCATGCAGTTAGACATCATTTTAATTAAGAAACTGCATGACATATTTGTACCTCTTTAAAATATTTGTTTTAATACTGATAGAAAAGAATTTAAAACGATTAAAATATTATATAATATAAAATCCATATAATATAAAATATTAATCTACTTTATTATTCATTTATTTATTTAGCCAGGATGTATTATTATGTTTATCAAAAGTGACAACTTTTTAATGAATATTTATTATAAATGATTATAAAATTATATAATTATTATGAAATAAAAAAAGCAATTAGAATTTTACAAAGTGTTTAAAAGGTAGATTTTTCCAATGAATCATCTGTTGAACTGCATCCCAATCATCCCAAATGCTGCAGAAGAACTATTGGAACTCGCAAGTACCCAATATTCTCACAGAAATCAGTCAAGTTTGTTGAAGGAAAAATCATTGTTTGGGGTTACATTCAGTATGGGGGCGTGCGAGAGATCTGCAGAGTGGATGACAACATTAACAGCCTTAGGTCTCAAGGCATTTGTGCTGCCCATTACATTACAAAATCACAGGAGAGGGCAAATTCTTCCGCATGATAGCGCTTCTCCTCATACTTCAGCCTCCAGCCTAAAGAAGTTCAAGGTGTTCCAGGATTGGCCAGCCCAGTCACCAGACATGAACATTATTAAATATGTCTAGGGTAAGATGAAGGAGGAAGCATTGAAGATGAATCCAAAGAATCTTTTTTTTTCCCCTTTATTTTTATGCCTAGAACAAATTACATTATTTATACAGAAGATTGTAATTTTTTAAAATCCAAAGAATCTTGATGAACTCTGGGAATCCTGCTGGAACTTTGTCTTTGCCATTCCAGATGACTTTATTAATTAGTTATTTGAGTCATTGCAGAGATCAATCGATGCAGTCCCCCAAGCTTATGATGGGAGTCATACACAATATTCATTCTTTTTCCACTGCACCATGGCTATACTGTACATTATTTCAGTTAAGTGACAAGACTTTTGTCTCAGCAATGTCAGACCTTACGTAATTAAATAATTGAAAATCAAGGCATGATCATATTCTATTTTGGTAAACAAAGCCTAAGCGTAATCTAGAGCCCTTTGCCTTTTTTGTAAGCCACTTTTGATACCAAATGATCAACTAGAAGTCAAATTATTATTTGTTATTCCTAAAACTTGGATAGGCGACAAGACTTTAGTTAGGTAGTGTATGCCCAATTTGTAATCAAGATAATATAGGCTTGCTAAGTATAAAATACTTTTCACAAACAACAACAGACTCAACAAACCTTTAATGGTAACCTTTCTTGATCTCTTTTGAAGGGTTTGATTGTGTGTGCTGTTGTGTTTGCACAGGATACATGCACTCGCGGGTGGAGGAGGAATACCTCTGGGAGTGTAAGCAGTTGGGAGCTCTGTCTCCTATTGTTCTGCTTAACACGCTGCTGTTTTTCGGATCCAAACTGCTCAACCTGAAAACGGTTGAAGAGCATCGACGGCTCGCCTTTTCCAATGTCTCCCACTGCTCCAAGACCACCAAAAGTGGCTTGACCTCTTACCTTCGCTTTAGGCTACCTAACAAAGAGGAGGAAAAAGAGAAGAAATGTAAAAATCCACTGACCACATTGTGTTTAAATCTTAACACGGAGCCTCTATTTGTGTGCATGTTTTCATCGTTTTTAATTTGTGTTTTTTTGAACATGAAGCACCAGCTGGGAAGAGGAAGAGAGATGAAGAGAGCGTGGAGGAGGAGTTTTTGGAGATGCCGGAGAATGTGGAAAATCCTTTACGCTGCCCTGTCAGACTCTATGAGTTCTATCTCTCCAAATGGTGAGTTATTTTAAAGCCGTTGAATATTGGAGAATGAAAATAGCCATTTTGTCTTAATCTGTATTCTTTGTAACACATTTTTCAATTTGACATAGTTTGTGAACTAACTCCTGTTATCTGACTTATGCAAGTTGTTTGTTTTATTGGAGTGACTTTTTTTGGAAAGTTTTGTGTCAATCATTCTTCTGTCTAGTGGTTTAATTAAATAGCAAAAGAAATTTGTCAAACAACATAAATGGTCAAATCAAGCTTTTGTTATACAATCACTGACCACTTTATTAGGTACACCTGTCTAACTGCAATTTAACACAAATTTCTAATCAGCCAATCACATGGCAGCAACTGACGATCTGCTGCAGTCCAAACTGAGCATCAGAATGGGAAAGAAAGGTGATTTAGGTGACTTTGAACATGACATGGTTGTTGGTGCCAGATGGGCTGGTCTGAGTATTTTAGGAAGTGCTGATCTACTGGGTTTTTCATGCAAAAATATCTCTAGGGTTCACAGAGAATCGTCTTAAGAAGAGAAAATATCCAGTGAGCGCCAGTTCTGTGTGTCCAAATGCCTTGTCAATGCCATAGGTCAGAGGAATATGGCCAGACTGGTTGGAGCTGATAGAAAGGCAACAGTACCTCAAAAAACCACTCGTTACAACCGAGGTATGCAGAAAGCAGCTCTGAACGCACAACATGTCCAACCTTGAAGAAGATGGGCTACAGCAGCAGAAAACCACATCAGGTGCCACTTCTGTCAGCTAAGAACAGGAAACTGAAGCTACAATTCGCACAGGCTCCCCAAAATTTGGTGTGACATTCGGATGGTAGGGTCAGAATTTTGCATCAACAACATGCAAGCATAGATCCATCCTGCCTTGTATCAACAGTTCAAGCTGGTGATGGTGTAATGGTGTGGGGGATATTTTCTTGGCCAATTTGGGCCCTTAAGTACTAATTGAGCATCGTGTCAACGCCACAGCCTACCTGAGTATTGTTGCTGATCATGTCAAGTTGTTCATCCCTTTATGACCACTGTGTACCCATCTTCTGATGGCTACGCCCAGCAGGATAACGCGCCATGTCACAAAGCACGAGTCATCTCAGATTGGTTTCTTGAACCAACCCTGTAATAGTGAGGTGTACCTAATAAAGTGGCCGGTGAGTGTATGTGCGTAATTATTCACAATTAACCGCACAAAAAGTTTTTTTTTTTTTTTTGGCTTAGCGTGATCAAAAATGTTAATATTAAGTGTATGGACAGTTCTCTCAAAGTTAAATAAAAAATCTGCCCAAAAATACCAAATTTAAAACTCTTAAAACAAACATATTTATAAATTACTATTTATGTACTATGCAAATAATAATTCAAATAACAAATCATTTTAAGTGTTTGTTAATTACAGACTTACAAAAGCTAAATTCCACCATTTATGTTGTAACACATTTATTTTGTCATCACTATCCAGCAATATAAAAAAAGAGCTTAAATTTACCACTTATGCTGTTTATTGTGTTTATTTTGTAATTGATATCCTGCAAAGTAGTGATGACACTGCTTTGTTGGATGTCAATGAAAAAAAAAAACTGTCAAAAATGTTCATATTAAATGAATGGACAGCTCTACTAAAATGAAATTAAAAATAGAACTGAATTTAATTCTCAAACTCTTAATACTAAGATGTTCATAAATAATTCTGTATGTAGTATGCAGATAAAAATTAAAATACATAATTGTAATCAATTTTAATTGTTATAAACTTGTAGCAAAAGCTTATTTTCACCATTTCTCTGCTAAAAGAAAAACTGCCTTAACCAGCCTAAGCTGCTTAGCTGGTTTTAGCTTGTCAACCAGCCTGGTTTTATAGGGGTTTTGACCATTTCTAGGCTGGTTTCAGTCATTTCTAGTCTGGTTGTAGTTGGTCAGTCTGGAAATGACCAGCTAAAACCAGCAATGTCCAGTTTAAACCAGGCTGGTCAAGCTGGTCATTTCCCAGCCTGACCAGCTAAGACCAGGCTGGAAATGGCTGGAAACCAGCCTGGTAGTGGCTAAACTCATAAAACTAGGATATTAATAACTACTATGTACTGTATGTGTAGTATGCAGGTAATAAAAAAAATATTAATCACATAATATGCTTATTGTAACTCAGGATGGAATCATAAGAAACAAAGCGCTAAATTAACAGCAGTTTTGATCATATAAAGCTTTTGTATGGATTTAGATACTCAGAATATAATGGCTTTGTGTATTAAAAAGAGCAGCTTGGATTTCTGCCTCATTTCTGTTTCACAAAAGAATTCAAATAGCATCACGAATTTGAGTGAATTATACCTGTCATGCATTTTAATATCACACTCAACAATTTTAGAGAGCATGATTTTGAAACTGCATTTGAATTACAGTAATACAGATATTTAAATCCTGCATCATAAGGCTTTTTTTTTCACAAATTGCACTTGCTTAGAGAAGCAGAATCACTTCAAGTCTTTTTCTGGTGCTTTTAGTGAAGCGACACCTTTTATGATGTTCGTTCTCTCTCACAGCTCAAACTCTGTAAAACAGCGTCCAGATCTTTTCTACCTGCAGCCTGAAGCATCCTGCCATCCCAGCAGCCCTGTGTGGTACTCAGCCCAGCCACTGGACAGCACCATGATGGAAAGCATGCTAACACGTATCCTAGCTATACAGGACATTCACCTGGACTCGAAACATCAGCAAAAATACCTGGACTCGTCAGACGAAGAGAGCTCTTAATGTGAATCTATAAACTAGACATTCAATGACATCTACTTATTATTTTTATTCAGACCGGGAATGGGATGCAAACAGAAGCGTATGAAATTGTGCACAAGCTCAACAGACATTCCTTAAGCCCATCTATCCTATCATGAATGTTACAGACAGTTCAAATGAACATTTTTGGAGGGAATCGTTTGGTTTTTAGTCACAGTAGACATTGTTTCTCAGTATTTAGTATTATTTAGTGAACGCATTTTAAGTTGAAACATTCATCATGTCATTGTTGGTAACCTTTCAAAAATATATATATGAATTCTCAGATGTTGTGTTTGATAACATTTGTCCTTGATGTAACTTTTTTGGTGATGAAGAATATCTACATATTACAGGACCGTTCACATTGAAAAAACTTTGCAGCCACAAAGCAACCAGAAGTCTTATGGGCCCCGTTTAAACCCTAGTGGACCAAGCTAATTACAGGTGTGTATAGTTTAAACTCAACTGCATTCAAGCCGCATAACATTAGTTGGTTAACTGAGGCAGGCAATGTATTCCAAATGGGATATACTGCCCTCCAAAGGTCACTTAGGAATAAAAAAAAAATCATGGCAGTCATATGGTCATGGTCGTTCCAAACCAAAGTCCTCAAAACTGGCAACTTCAAAGGGCCCTTCAGAATTAAGGGAAATTGAAGGATACAACTGATGGACACTTTAGGCCATGATCCTTTGAGCAGGGAAATTTTGTGGCATACACTGGGTTCAATTTGGAAGGACTCACCCCTATGCTCCAATGCAGAGGTCACCAAACTTGTTCCTGGAGGGCCAGGGTCCTGGAGATATTAGCTCCACCCCTAATCAAACAAGCCTGAACAAGCTAATCAAGGTCTTGCTTGGTATACTTTAAACATTCAGGCAGGTGTGTTGAGGCAAGTTGGAGCTAAATCCTGAAGGGACACCAGCCCTCCAGGACCGAGATTGGTGACCCCTGCTCTAATGCCTTCAGAGTGACCCTTCGAAGGGATTAGGGCAGGGGTGTCAAACTCAATTCCTGGAGGGCCGCAGCCCTGCAGAGTTAACACACCTATCTGTGGCTATCAAACAAGTCTAAAGCACTCAATTAGTTTGGTCAGGTTTGTTTATATAGGGTTGAAATCATGTAGATTTATGGCCCTCCAGGAACTGAGTTTCACACCTGTGGATTAAAGCATAGGGATGAGCCCTTCCGGATGGAACCCATCATACATTTACGCCACAACAATGATACCAAAAACAGAAAGGTTTTTGCCTTGTGTTTTAAAAACTTTTCATGTTTAAGGCTGATTTATACCTCTGCATCAAGTGATGATCGCCTTGATCCACGGCGCACGTCATGCATTTATACTTCTGCGTGCTGTTTGTGTTGCTCTGCAATAGCCCTTTTGAAACGCTAGCTGGCTGTGAGGTTTTTGTTTCTCTGTGTTGAGTTTCTTCAGGGGTGTTTTGTTTTTTCTAAACGCTACCTTAGTTTACAAGTAGCTAAAACTCGCTCAGTCAGAGGCGAGAACTGGTGAATATGCAACAACTATAATGAAAATATAAACATAAAACAAAAGTTTCCATCTGGAGCTCCTTCACGGGATTCTGCATTTGTAAACACTCGCTCCATCGGGCTCGCAGCTCTGCACCGCCCACACCACTACCAACCCAACCAATCACAGAGCTTGCTCTGCACGTCACTGCGACATGTAGTTACATTTTTTCGAAAGTTGCGCTTCAGCGTTGGCGTCAGCTACAGTGAGGGCTATGCGACCACGCGAAGACTGCACCAGACCATATGTGTGCACTTGACGCAGAAGTATAAATCAGCCTTTACACGACAACATTTTGAAAATGATCCACACTTACACATCCGCAAAAAAACAGCCTAAAGTGTATGAATGTATTAATACTGGCCTGGCATTATGTATTACATATACCAGGCCAGTATTTGGCACCGTCACCTTGTTAGTAAACAATGCTTCGGTGTGACCCATGGCACCTCCCTTGCGCTTAGTCGTGCATTTATAGTTCTGCATGTTTGTTTTACACTGCAATAACACTTCCGAAATGCTAGCTGGCCGTAGGTTTTTATGTTCCTCTTGTTTCGAGTTTCTTCGCGGGCGTTTTTTTTTTTTTTTTTGAACGCAGCTCAAACTCGCTCATTCAGAGGCGGGAAAGGGTGGACATGTAACAACTTTAACCATGAGGTAAACACAAAACAAAAGTTTTCATGTGTAGAACTGTTTGTTCACATGGAAACTTTTGTTTTGTGTTTACTTCATGATTAAAGTTGTTGCACGTCCGCCGGTTCCCGCTTGTAAAATGCGTCTCCGTTTTGGTTGTGATGTAAAGTAAATCCACACTTTGCTGATGGATCGTTAGCAAACACTTCAGCAGCAACAACACCATCATGTACTATGCCATTGTTGTATTTACATTTGTGCTTGCCTTTTATCTACCACTACTTGTTTTCCTTCCTAAACACGTACCATCCATGCACATGGCGTCATTGTATTCATAGTCTCTCATTTTTGAATGTATAGATGACATGGCAATGGCTAGGTTTTCAAAAACTTCCACTCTGTAACCAATTTTTCAGATTAATGCATTTTCAATTCCACAAACACTTTTGTAATGCAAACGAACAAACAAAGCACATAGAAAGTTTCCGTTTTTGTCTAAAAACCTTGTCATGGCCCCTAAAAACTGCTTGATATATATGACAAAAAATAGAAGGAACTACACTACTTAACTAAAGTCTTGTCGCCTATCCAAGTTTAAGGAACAATTAATAATAGCTTGACTTCTAGTTGATCATTTGTTATCAGAAGTGGTTTATATGAAAGGCAAAAGCCTCTAGATTTCGCTTATTTTACCTTATTTTTTGCCTCCTCTTTTATCTTACCCCAGACATGCTCAATAATGTTCATGTTTGGTGACCGAGCTGGCCAATCCTGGAACACCTTGACCTTCTTTGCTTTCAGTAGCTTTTTGGAGGCTGAAGTATGAGAAGCAGCACTGTCCTGCTGAAGAATTTGCCCTCTCCTGTGGTTTGTAAAGTAATGGGCCGCACAAATGTCTTGATTCCTCAGGCTGTTGATGTTTCCATCCACTCTGCAAATCTCTCGCACGCCCCCATACTGAATGTAAACCCAAACCATGATTTTTCCTTCGTCAAACTTGACTGATTTCTGTGAGAATCTTGGTTCATGCGGGTTCCAATAGTTCTTCTGCAGTATTTGTGATGATAGGAATGCAGTTCAACAGATGATTCATCAAAAAAAAATTTGCCTTCTGTCACTATTCAAATGATTAACTAGAAGTCAAGTTATTTGTTGCTCTTACAACTAGAATCGATGACAAGACTTTTGTCAGGTAGTGTAGATCATGGGTGTCCAAACTCGGTCCTGGAGGGCAGGTATCCTACATAGGCAAGGCAAGGCAAGGCAAGGCAAGTTTATTTATATAGCACATTTCATACACAGTGGCAATTCAAAGTGCTTTACATAAACAAGAATAAAAGAAACAAGTAAAATAAAAATAAAAACAAATAGTATAAAAAAAACATAAATACAGGTTAAATGTGATATAAAAGAATGAAGAAGAAGAGAAAAACATAATAGCGCAGTCTGTCGGACGCAGCACAGTGCTCATTCAGTAAAGGCACAGTAGTTTAGTTAGTTTTGACGTAGTTTAGACATAGTTTAGTTCCAACTTTCTTCAACACACCTGCTCGGAAGTTTCTAGTATACCTAGAAAGAACTTGATTAGCTGATTCAGGTGTGTATAATTGGGGTTGGAGCTAAACTTTGCAAGATATCGGCCCTCTGAAATTTGAACAACTAATCATGAGATGATGGTAATACCAGGTGAACATAGGTACATAAAGTAAGACCACTGAAAACCTCCTTTGTATAGGTGAATTAAGCAAATATTACTAATGCTACATGCGAATGAATAGTAAAGCTTGAAAGTTTAGTCTGATATCATTTTAATGGACACAAAAATGCATCCTCCCATGTGCTGAAGAATCATTTTGAATATTTATACCTGGTCAAATATTTCTGTGCTTTCAGACACTAGGCTAAAATGTAAATTTCACTGAGCTTTCAGGAAACAATTATTTAAAATGGTTCTCTTTCTTGCACGAATTCCCTAATTAGATGTCTCACATCCAGAGAAGATGTAAAAGCAACATTAATGAGTGTGATGCATTCATAGAGTCAAAGTGTCTTGTCTCAGTCAATAGAGGGCAGTCCTGCTTTGTTAGTTCAAATGACAGGACCTTGACAGGGCAACAATGGGGAATCAAATAAGCAATGTTTAGCCACATGATTATGCTGATATTTGCACAGATAGATGCAGCGCCAGCCTACGATGTAAAGCCAATTGTCATTCGCTGCCATGGTAACAGAGACAAGAGCTGTTGCTTTTGCTTCTCAGTGGATTCTGAATGTGCTGCTGCTGCTGTTGAGAATCATGCAATTCAGATATGAAAAGCACTTGTATACGTGCATTCGATAATGCAATTATTAACTTAACCCAAACGTCCCACATCAGGACCTTCAATGTAGCCTGCGCTGACTTTTAGATTTGCCAGGATAACGCAAGGGGAACAGCGCGTAAGTGTGGCAGCTGAACTATTTATATCTACACTTGGTAAAGGGCAAATGCTTTTTGTCTGATCGCTGTGTCTCCTACCAATTTTTCATACATGTACAAGCGACCATGATGGACCGATAGCACATCTCAGGGACAGATCACGTTTATATTGGCGTTTCAAAAAGAGTGTGTAGGCGTGCTCCGGGCAGATGAGGTGTGATTCGAGAGGGTTCGAGAGTGTGTGGGAGAGAGAACTACAACAAAGACACACAATCTGGCAGTGCATGACTGAATCGTCGCTTGAAACATTCAAAGGCAAACTTTGCTTATTTGGAAACCCAAGCTGCTGGCATGATGATTTGGGCTAATTTTTTGTTATTTACACGCAGATAAGACATGGATGTCGGGAAAAGCGAATATGTCACATGAAAAATCTAAACCATCTTATTTGAGGTCAAACCAAATTGAGATAAAAGTGACTGAAAGGGAATGAATTGAGTGAGGCAAAAAAAGTCCTAAGCTCCTGATAAGTGCTAAAGCCCTGAAGCAGCCTCAAAACTCAGGGGAGGGAACTGAGAGAGTGATAGTGAGGCAGTAAGAGAGAGGAGGGAGAGAAAGAGAGAGAGAAAGAGCTGCCGTTGGTGTTGAAATAAGAGGCTATTTATCAAATCAACTGTTTCTGTGTGACGAAGGACAA